AAAGACTTGATCCAAATTGCACGTGCTGCAGCAGACGCCTCCGTGTTGCTGTCTCATCTGGGCTGAGTGATTGTGCGCACAGTATAAGTGGCTGTTCAAAGAAGACTCAACTCATCATACTGGCATGTTCACGTACAACAGATTACCAAACACCTCCAACGAAGCCTGATGTGGTTAATCACAGCATTGTTGCTTCATAATGAGGACACTTTCCGCAACTACTTCATCCCATCAACATCTGCGACTGGAAGAGTGAGCGTTTACAACCGTTGTTTATTCACTCCTCCGACATTAATTACATGCTAAATAGCTATTTACAGCAATTATTATCTTTGAATGCACTTATGTCTGAATATAAAATATCCTTAATTGTTACTTGCTAGCAGTTACCTCAGCACAACCCATCCACAACGCGCAATACCATTCTCCATTCTCCCTTTTACTTACATTTCGATTCGTTGCAGCTCTGCATCACCAACAGGAAATAAATGGGAAATGTCGAATTGAGGCCGCGATAACCAGAATGCACTGCTTTGATGTGCATTTGATTTGAGAACGCTTGAACTCTCCACACCAACGAGGCCAGCATAGCATGCTGCCATCCTAAGCATTGGGAAATATTGGAAATAATTCGCAACCGAAATTCTATTGGCTCGTAGGGCAAACATGAAAGGCTTCCTCTCTTACATTCATATCAATGTCAATTCATGCTGCTCTGTGATGAGCCATCCTGCTATACCTCCCTTGTCCATGCTAACGCAATGCGACATAGCACCTCTCTCCGTTGTTGATGCCGGCATTGCTTATGACTACACGAATGCCCACCAGTGCTTATCACTTTGGGAACCACGTCTACTAAACAAATGCAGGAATAGAGCATTCTGGATACGCACTGCTTGTTGCTTGCAGCTATTCTCAGTGTGAGCGATAAGAGGATATTTAAGGTCTGCTTTTGGCAGTGACTCTCTCAAATTGTTGTTCTCAGCAGAGGTGATGATGTTTCTTGTAGTTGATGGGAGAACGTGTGTTCCTCAAGTGGACAGCAGTTAAGTGACGCGGGATCTAGTACCACTGTCAGCAATGAATGGAATGGTCACGACTGCTAGCCACACACGCACGCACACGTGGGTTAAGTGGGCCATTAAATTGAACCAATCCAATGTCGCCTGATTGGCAACCAATCGGTGGCAAACGCCTAGTTTGGTCACTCCTGACTACGTAGTAGGTGGCAGCCGAGGTGATTAAACAAGGCATGTCAGCACACATTCCCCCAAGTTAGGCCCACCCATCAAGCCATGTCCACGGACGAGGATAGCATCCAACGCGGTGGCCCTGTGCCCACTCACGCCACTACCACTATCAGACGCGCCAACTTCGGACACCTGCATATGGATCGTGCATCGAAGGTATGGGAGGACCGCTTCCTCGGCAATCCCACATCAAGTCACTCCTCTCCACACCGAACAGCTTCTCAGGTTATTGGGAAGCGACATAGTTTCGCTGGTCGTCACGTGTCCTCGCATTTCACCAGTTCTGAATCCATACCCACCAATCTGCCCAAATCGCGCTCCCAACTCGGCAGCAGCATGACTAGCATCAAGGAGCATCTATTTGCCATGATCGCACCTGATGACAACAAACTTTGCCTCAAGTTTTTCGGCACCAAACGAGCAGTGCACTTGGAGCAGCAAAGAATGTTTAACCAGCATGTGTGGATCATACACCCATATAGTTGCTTCAAGTAAGTACGAAAATTGCAGTCGATTCCCTTGTACATTTTCATTAGTAATGCTTCATCAAACACTTATTTGCCACGAGAGGTGTGAATTCTCTTAACATTTTGAAGGGGTCCCAACCGTGGACTTTCTGGTTGAAGGTCTGCTGTGTTAAGTAAAACAAAATTGCTTGTTCTTTCGGTGCAAAGATGGGTCGTTTTGCCTCCTGTAAAAGCACACTCACTGAGTGTGGTTAATTTTTATTAAGCAAATAAGTAACTGTTCTTTTGCCTGGTTAATACTGGTTGTCTGTTTTAATGATCGCTTATCCCCACAACTGTAATCTCTTTGATTACAAAGGTGATTGCCTTATGCAACTTTATTCCTGTCTTTCAGACATATGAAAATTTTTTTTGCTTTTCGTTTTGCTGAGGAATATATTACTTACTAAAACAATCGTTTTTGTTCACCACAAAACCCTTTTAACTCAATTTTTATAATATTTGAACGTGTAGATATAAATAGTACTTCCGACCCTTATACTTAGCTATGACATGTGTCTCCGGTAGCTTTTATCTGCACAGGACAAAAGCATTGAGGCTTTCAAGCGGATACATCCACTCGGAAAACAAGGACATTGTTCGCTTTCCCTACTAGGCAGTAAAGTTCCAAAAACATCCTTACAATTATTCAATTTATAGCATTAGAAATAGCGGAATCACTCAAGCGTCTTCTACAAACTGTTCATAGTTAATATAAATGAATTAAACCCATTAAAGCGTGATTAGGCACCAAATTAAAATAACTTTTATTTACTACTAGAGGAAGTTAGATATTACTCCATTTGGGTGAAAGTAGCAGCTGGTGAGCTTGGGACAGCGTTAGCTTAATTTTATTCGAGTAATTTCTTCTGTCGGCAAAAAACATCCAGGTTAAAGTTGCATTCTGGGTAGTCATTTAGCTTTTTGCAAAAATTGTTCTCAAAGAGGTAGTAGTGTGGAGTATCATAAACAACCACTGTCGAATGTATATTTCGGACTTTCACTTTTTCGCCTCATTACACTGCAGGCATTTATAAAAAAGTAGGATATCTATTCTTTGACGGTTTCACAGTAACTCTCACGTGCTGCGTCCTCAGTTCGTAGCTAATATATACCACATAGGACAGTTAAATAAGAGATAAGATAATATCTGGCTTTCCCAAGTGATAATTTTGAGGAACGCGCAGCGACCTAATAATTCCAGGCTTATAATATGTCGTAGGCTGCGTACAAGGTTATTTGTGGAACTATCCACTTTAGTGAATTCAATGCAGGCTTCCCTTGGCGGTGACTATCCAGCATTAGCTTTTCTGTCATTAGAAAAAAGTTCACGCTTGCACTAATATAAATTAAGTGTATTACTAAAACTAAATGAAGAAATTCTTCTATCCTAACAATCTTTTTTTAATAAAGCTTCATTACATACCCAAAACATGAAGTTAGGGTGAACTCAGGACAGTATTTCATACAAATTTGGGAAGGTATAAAGTGTAATCTGCAATATACGCGCATCGACTGGCTCTACAAAACGATACAAGTGAACTAATACGATCTTAAACTAATGAACGTTCAAATTTTTATTGCAAACCTAAAGAGCAAAATTTTGATGCAGTCCTCACCAGGGTCCTTTATTTACTGTCCAAAGTTGATGTTTTATAGACAAAATCAACAAAATTCTTCAAATTGTTTTGCTTTGTAGGGAAAATAAATTTTAATATTGCATGCGGGACTTTTGGAAGCTGTCGTACAGAAAAGATCGAATGCACAAAATAGTAGGATCGTAAGACAAATCGGTGTAGCTCTGCGATCCTGACGCTTTCCGAGCAGAAAGGAGTCACTTTCAATTTTTTGGGTATTATTTTCCCTAGAATCATCCACTAGTATTGCGCACATCTCTTAATACACTGGTTTATTTTATCCAAGTTATAATCAATGCTGCAGTCTTTTTATGCTTTTAGGGTTATTTTCTTCTTACTTGTTTAAAAATATTTGCCATTGTACTTGCGCATTTTAAGCTGTCTGCTCCAAATAACTTATTTTTTCTCCGCTTAAACGATTTGCATTAATATATTGGTAATTAACCTTTTTACTTGACAAAACACAGCTGTACTTTTTATTTTATAATGGGTGACAGAATAACCTCAATTTCGTATCTGCATGACCGAATTTGACATACGGTTCTGTGCTCTTCTTATGCAGTAGTTGGAGGGATACACAATGTGCATACTTTTGGTAGTAGCATCTACATCTGTGCGAAATGATATATGTGACTCTTGGTTATTGAAAATTAAAAAACAAATCTGAATACTTTGGTCACATGCTTTTTAGATACTTTGTAGTGACATAATTACAATAGGCATAAAATTTCCTGATATAACTGTATGATGAAGGAGAGCCCAAAGGCCATATCTAGGTGTTACTTATCTGAACTTGAAATATCACGTTTACATTAGCAAAATGTCATTTTTGTGCAATATCTCCTGCCTTCTACAAAACCGTTCGCCTAAAACTACTGTTCTAATAAAACTACTTGGTTTTACTGGAGGTGAAAAAAATCTAAAATATATAAACTTAGCTCTATCAAAGGATGTGAAAGAAGACATCGGTTCGGAATTTTACAGTAAAAATCAACCAATTTTTTGTGCATTTAATTCATCTTTAAAGTCATACTAAACAAACTACAAATTTTAGACAGTGCATTTTTACTCCTGAGCAACTACACCGCATTACTATGGTAAATTATGGCGATAAATCGCAGAATATTTGACAATAAAGAGCAGCTTTACAGCCTGGTGAAAGTATTTTTCTAGCCCGTAGGCTTCTGGTCCTGCAAAAGCTCCGTTGGACAAGCTATAATTCTTTAGAAATATTTTTAAAGTGCTACGCCTTTAAAAGGATTGAGGCTTCGATTATCGTTTAAATGACATATTTTGACGTAATGCTGTTTCCAATTAATAGACCTTATTCCTTTAAATTGGGAATATGATCCCAAAAGTCAAAATTAGACTCAAGTTTCATAAAAGCCATCAATTTGTTCCTTGATTCATTATATTGTTTATTAAGCTCTAAAGCTTTCCTTCCCTTTTTTTCCACTCATCTACCAAATTCGTAGTAGTTTTGATGACATCATCGTCTTTAGAACACGCAAGGTACGTAATTCCAATTTGCTTAAAGTTAACCATCAGTTTTTCTCCCCAAAATTGGTTATTGAGTTAAAGGCTTGTTCTACAAAGTTTTGTATTTTATAACAGAATTTACTGGAACATAACAATGCTGGTTTTGCTGATAGCAAACCTCGTCAGTCTGCCTATAGCGATTGCCTTCAATCTGCGCTACCGAAGCCCTGTATGGCTGTGTTATAGTTGCTGTTCAGATGCCCTTTTCCTCGTAGATATTGTGGTCAACTTCAGAACAGGTTAGTTTATGGCGTAAAGAAATGTTTGCGACAAACATATTTAACAGATGCTTAAATATTATTTATTACATGCATCCGTAGATAATATATCCTCTCTTGCTTGTAAACCTATATATTTTAAAGTAGATATGCCTATTATGTCATTTTATCGAAGTACAATTTGTCTAGCGCTATGTTTACGAACTACACCACAAATGCAATATTTGTAGAAATAATTATGAAATGGATTAATTCAATCATTGAAAAATGTTGTAGTGTTTTTTAGTTGTGCAAACCGTTTCAGCCGAGACACTGCATACTGCAGAAGTATGCTTCGAAACTCTCGAAGCTTAAATAATCACTCTCGTTCAGATGGCAATTTATTAAGCCAAAGTGGGTGTCTGTTTTAAACTTTCCGCGTTAAATCGATTGATGTTAACTAAAAAACTAAGCAAATGTAACCAATAAATAACAGGTAAAAGTCAAGCCATTAAGTGAAGTTTTAACTGTTTCCGATTTTTCGAACATCAAAAACTAAGAGAAGGGTAAATTACACTCAACATCGACTAAGTCGGTCCATATTCCTCTTTATAATCAAAAGGAGATTAAAATAGCACTACTTTTGTGATTCAGCATGTAATCAAACACGGATTTCAATGTTAAGTTGGTCTATGTTTCGCGAGGTGTAAGATAGTTTTTGTTTTTCTTGCACTTTGTAAATGTGAAAAGTAAAATACTCCTCTGCAATATTTATTGGCACTTATTTGATGAATGTCGCTGTTTTAGGCGCTTTCATAAGAGGTCACTTTTAGATTAAACTGCGCCAGCAACACTGGTGATTTGGTAAAGTGACCGAGATTGGGTTATCCAAATGGCAAATAAACTTGCCTTGACTTATCAATTTTGTTTTTCCTGTACAACCTTCGTAATACCCGATTGTAATTGAACTCCCTTCCGCTTTCTAAATGTCGTAGATTTTATCCACCGACAGGCCCCATCAGATTTTGCTGGAAATCCCACATAGTATTTATTTTACATTCTGAAAAATAAATATCAAGAACGTATTGACATATTTTAGAAATGTAGTCTTTGTAAGGGTGTCCTTTTGACCATAATCTGACCTTACTGAATTCGTTTACGCATGAAGTTAATAGTTAGACTTACGTGTGTGGGGTGTGGCACAATGCATTCATTTTAGAATATCTTATTATTTATTGGTATAATGAGGTGCAGTGGTGTATAGTACTTATTATTTGTTTAACTTCATCCGCACTACTTTTCGTGCTAAGAAACCAACAGGGGCGGTAACTTTTACTAAAGCATGAAAAACATCACAAATGAACAAATTTGTTAACGAAATATTTCGTTCATGTCCTTACTAACTATCCCGTGCGACTAAATTAAGCACTATATATTGGCTTAGTTTTAGCAACAATTTACAGTCAATATTTCAAAATGAAATTAATAATCCACGTAACTTCTAATTTCTTATCAGTTTTTTCTGTTATGCCAATTAGAAGCGTCACAAACCAACTCTCAAGAACCTTTTCTAGGACGAAGCTGAATGGGGTCTAGTAAAAATGGCAGCGGACGCAAACATTTGACCCAAATTTCCATGGCTTTAGTCCAACAGGGTGTTATTTTTGGACAATAAAAATAAGCAGCCATAACCCTTTCTGTAATGCACCTCTTTCCTTATTGCAAGTTATAAAATATGGGCAAATTAATACAGAAAATGGGATATGTTCTTCATTTCTGAAGCATTCAGAGCATTATCTTACCAGTGTAGGATCGAGAAGCACGACACCATTCCTCGACGAATAACTCCAAGCATCTTTGGCCAGAGGGGTACTAGGTAATGTTAAGAAAGGGCTTGTTCATTGTCACCTTTGGAATATAGGTTCTATGCACAACAATTGACATCCGACAACTAGTCTACTTTGCATACTCAATTGTTAATACCTTAACAATCCTGAACAGTGTTATTTCTTTGTAGCTGGACTCAAGCTTTAACAAATGCCACAGGAGACTTTTCTGTGTTAGAAAAAATCTCAGGAGGCTTATTTATGTGCTTTCACGCTCCATGTTCCTTCTCATCTAGAACCCACTACTGATGTGTAATGATCCTTGTAAATGCTACGGCAAAGCAACTAACGCAAAGGTCTCTCATCCCACGTAAAGAGAATTCCAGGCTCAATTAATGTCTAATTACTACTTCTTAGCATAAAATACCCAATTCACTCAGACCAAGTAAAGCACATTTACAATGATACACCATGAATCGCTATTATTTCTAGGTTTATTGTTAGCTGAGCAATACATGCATTTATTGCGTAGAGTGTGAGTACACATTTATCAAGTTCATTCAATAGTTGAATAAATAACTGTCAACTATAGGTACATTTTGTATGCATATAGTTAAGTTTTGATGCATTGAACGAGTCGTTTTAGTATGGGGAAAATATAATTAAAAACTGTTGCAGGTTTTGTGCGTGAAAGCATGGCAGATGATATCGTTTTGGAGCCGAGATTAATTGCACGAGAGTATCTGCGGAAGTGGTTCACGTTGGATATTATCTCTTCCCTACCACTTGATTACGTTCTTCTGGCCTTTGACAACGGCACCGAGCAAATTGCACAAGCTGGTATGGTTCCCATTAAGGCAGTTTCTATGTATTTACATTTTTATCCACATTCCCCACCTCAATAATTTACATATTCTGCAATCATAAAGAGTCCCAAATTCCCCAATTCTTGATGTGTACTATGTGTAACATATATGAAAAATTTTGAAAGAAGTCATAACATTCAGATTGAGCTTAGCCTTAAAGTTAGCACTAAATATTGAAATAGGCTTCTATATGGAAAGTATTAGCAACATTCGTTGTATGTCTCCGAGATTTGATGTCATATTTATGCTCCTAGTTAACACGGACGTCAACCTTTCATGAGTCTTGCGTGATCAAGAAAATCAATTAGTCCCTCATTTATTTTCCTAGGCCAGGCACTAAAAATATTCAGGCTTGCCAAACTGCTCAGCCTTTTGCGTCTTTTGCGGTTGTCCCGACTTTTGCGATATGTTGGTGAGTGGGAAAAGGTAAGACCAAGATATCAGGTGCTACTTATGTTTACCAGGCTTCGTTTCTTTTAACAGATAGCTACAATTGTCTTCGTGTTAGAATGCCTTATTGCTGTTGCAAGAACTCCACATTTCGATTCCATACGCGTAACTAACTTGCCGACTGAAAGGACAGTATATTTAACTTATCCCTTTGTAAAGAGGAGTGATTTTGTTTGTTAATCTTAGTACTATTTTTCAAGAAAATATGTGTTGCGATATGTAGGCTGACCCTATTTTGCGTCATCATTTTCGTTCTTTATCTTGTAACGCGATATTTATTTAAATCTTCGATTTGCTGGTGAGACGTGCTAACTTAAGTTACTGAAATTTACTTGTCTTTGTTTAGTTCATGAACATTGCGGGGAAATTTATTGGAATTCTAAAATTGATTCTCTTGATGCTTCTTCTGGGACACTGGAATGCTTGCTTGCAATTTTTTATCCCAAGTCTAATGGACTTCCCCATCGACAGTTGGGTGGCCAAATGTCGACTCCAGGTACGCTCACTTTAAAGAACTTTCTCGGTTCTACAACCCAGTCTTTTCCTTATTTTTCGTTACTGCAAAACAAATTGTCTCCTTAAGTGATTACAGATTTTAACCAATTGGAATCAACCTCATCCATGTTTGGCACACTGTAGTCCTTTATCTAATTTCCGCCAGTAGTTTTAGGTAAATCTCAACTATTTTAAGAACATGCATATTTTCCACGTACAAAATTGGTCTAAAACACATGAAAAATAACTAATTAAGGCTCTCAAACAAAGAATTTATCAAACTAAATAACCATATACTCCTTCAAACTCTAAATTCTGAAAATGGGAAATGCCATATATCTTTGGTTTTGCTTATTTGAAAGAAACTGCTGCACATTATGGGCATCTTTGCCTACGAATGGAAGCTAAGCTCGAAAATGGGTACATTTAGACTACCTGTGATTCAGTTTGCTGCGAATGGCATTAAACCTAATCAAATTAATTTGGGTATGTCATGCGATATTACAGTGGTAGAGGCAAGGATATCCAATCACACCCGAAAATTATTGGCACTGTAATAGTATTAGCCTAGAACGCATCGTGTGCCTCACTGAGATACTGCAACAAACAGGAATAATTCGAATTGGCGGTGGATAATACTCTCCCTACCTATTTTGACTTTTGTGTGCAAGTGTATCCGTGTAGGAGCAGCTTCGTTAACCCTTATTTGTACATGTTACATTCTTTGGATACTTCCCCTTTTGTTCCTGTGGTTTTTCTTCCGTACATCTTTGTTCTCAACAAAAATGTATTAACAGCAGTTACGCTATCTACACGTGCATCCATGAATGCTGTAATAAGATGTGGATACTTTTCCAAGTTGAGGGTAATACAGTGATATTTCATCGTATAAAAATAAATTTCTCATGACTGCATTCGATGGTTTGGTTATTAGTAACTGTCAACTTCTTGCAAAATCATCAGTTTAATTTTAAGTAAAGGTTCATTGAAAAGGCCCTTTGCATAAACCTGAATGATAGACTCTCTTATAATTCGAGTACGGGGTCTTGGGTAGATGGGAGGAAAAATGCACCTAAAATCATCAAATCCGATTGCTATGTGTTAACCAGATTCCATCATCAAATCCAAATATTTTAGCCGGTGTTTTCGATTTTTAATGAGGCGACGCAAATTTATGCGCTGTATTTAGCGATGGTGCAGTCAAAATTACATGTTTCATCTGCAACATTTTCTATGCAAATATTTTGACAACTTTTTGAGTTTTCGTTTATACCACAATGCATTTCACTCTTCGTGAATTAAAAGATAAACTTTCTTGCCGCTTCGTTTGTTTTTTTTTGAAACTTATGCCATTTCGCTAATTTCTAGACGCCTATCAATGGTACACTTTAAATCACCAGGGAAAACAAATGCATCTATCAACCTGCAAACCACTCCTGTGAGAAAAAATAGCAATAAAATCAGATTTTTCACACTGTCAGATCTACCGCCGTAAGCTGGGGTGATTTATTTATGTCTGAGCATCTAACTCACTTTTTTCGGGTCATTTTTTGATCTTGAAGTGGGAAGGAAGGTCAATCCCCAAATCATAACCAAGTTTGTGAGGTTTTCTTTAAGGTGCATCCAATAAAATGGATCTGCGTTGTTTAAAATTTCATAAGTTCTATTTTTAGTTCTGAGAGATTTTCCTACCTGTGCATCATATATTAAACATTATACATCAAAAATGGTATCGGCATTTGTTATCAATGTTACGCAAACCGCAATTATGACTGAGGTCATTCCCGTCAGCACGACACCGTCCAGAAATTAAAGCGTCTGAACTCGATAGGCAAAAATGACATACTTTGAATCATTCAAAAGGTCGTATTCGGTGCTGCTTTCTTCTCAAAACATGCGTATGGTAGATTTGTAGATTCACATTTATTCTGTGCCCAATTTAAAAACAATTTGGAAGATGTAGTCCTTCTCATTGCACGTAAAACCACAGTATATACACTAACAAGATTGCCTTTCATTCAACAAGCGGGAATCTATTTGCCATGTTGATTTTGAATCATTCCAATGGATTGAGTGTTAAACCTGCGTATCACTATTTGGATTTGGCACAAAGGTACACCCATTAATTGCACGTATTCGGAGCAGTGTATCGCAATACTTGCCCTTAATGAAGTAGCATATTTCCGACAGTTCATAATCAATTCAAAGCTTCTCTGTGTTGCAAATCTGCATGTCCCAATTTTAGAACACACTATATTTTACATACCTTAACTCCTTTAATGCAGCATCTCGTGTGAGTTTTAAAGTGACTGTGAGCTTCATATATAGGCATTATTCCCTACGTTTTATTCACTAACAATTATTTTTGGCACAATAATAGGGTTTAGTGTAATTTACTTAGGACTAATTAAAGGATTTAGAAAAAACCTTCCTCGCTAGTTAATCACTGCACTTATATTAGTGAGTTATTCTGAGACTGATGCCAAACAGTATGTTGGTCTGTTTCGACTTCAAGTTTTAAGGTTCTTATTTAAAGTGGATGCTCTATAATTGCTAATGAAATTCATGCGCATCAAGAGGCCCTATCACTATGTAATTGCAGTAAGTTCGTCCATCCACTCAATAAATTTAATAGGCACTCTTAAGAAAGCAATTTTTGTTGCTAATAATGTATTCAAAAAACTCCCTTTTATGTTTTACATTCGTTAAGATTTTCGAAATCCCATTAGAGCTTCTACACTTTTAAAATTACGGTAAGGTAGTTCCACCTGGTCTATGTTCAGGTAATCTAAGGTTCTAAATGCCTGTCTTTTAACACCCTTCGTTTAGGCAGCACACAACCTCGCGATCGTCAAGCGCTTATGTTCGCATTAAAAATGTATCAACGGTTGGAAAATAAAATTTCTTGGTTTTATTGTGCAAGTACTTCATCTTGGTTCTAAAATACGTGAAACTTTTTATCACAATCTCTTTTTCTTTGCAAAAGATTCAAAGTGCATTTTGATAATTTGTGGCTAGCTTTTAAATCCTGGAAATTTTCATTTTCTGAATTTTTAAATGGGTGATCTTTCCAAATGCATCATTTCTTTGCACTGAATTTGACAACTAGCCTAAGCTTTTAATATAGACCACTATTTTCATGCGTTATTCTTTTCTCTTTGGACTGCCTTTAAATCTGTTCAAACAGGAATTGTGGAAACGAGATTTTCCTGACGCACTCCACGCGACTATCTAGTAAATACGATAGGTGTATATGACACATAATCTGATCATTGTCCATTCTCTAAAAAAACGAGTAACATTAGGTATAGATAAATGAGCGACAAACATTTCCGTCACAGACAAAGTTTTTTGTTTTAAAAATGCCAATGTCAATTTCTGGCATATTTATTCCATGAAATGAGACTCATCTAGAAGTTCTGCGAGCTTAATTAAGGTGACGAACGGGCATGCATTTATAAGTATGCATTATGCCAAATAGAATTCAGACTGGTTTGAGCAGTATACATGGGCGCTGTTCAAGGCACTCTCGCATATGCTCTGCATCGGCTACGGGCGCTTTCCGCCCAACAGCCTTTGCGAGGCATGGATGACAGCGATCAGTATGATGGCTGGCGCCACATGCTACGCCCTAGTTGTCGGCCACGTCGCAGCTCTCATCCAGTCCTTCGACGTTTCAAAGCGGCGATACCGAGACAAAGTAAGTCTGTTGGGGAATGATCCTACTGCCTCTGTTTTGCTGAGCACAGTTTAATGAACGCCCGAAATTGGGACTGGTAAATTCCTATGGGGAGTGGAATATCAGATAATTTAGGTAGGCGGATTTCCACGACAAAGTGAAATCATCATCTTCCCTTTTGTTTTCGCCCTTAATTGTCTACAAACTGTGCCAAGTGTAAACGATTTTGGAGTAATCTGGAATATTCTTAGGCAAACGTATACGTCGTTGTTGTACTTGGCCACATTTAACCTTTTTAGCTAACCCTTCCTATCCCAAAAAAGTCCAAATAGGCTAAATTTGATTGGCCTAAAAGTTTCTTAGACGATGCAACGTTATTTTACCCCACCTTAAATATCAGGAATTTTAGGACATATCCAAAAACTAGGTGGTATTTTTTGTAAATATCGCATAACGTTCTTCGTTGATTATGTACATCACTACCATGGTAAGCTGATTCCATTTCGCTAAATTTATTATGAGCTAGGGGGTGTAAAACTTGGTTTATGTCGCTTACTTGAAGAAGTGTCACAGAGTAGTGAAATACTTTACATCATGCAGGTGTTGACAATGATTGCTCTTCTTAATCCATCCTACGTGTTTTTGTTTCGTATTTTGAAATGCAGTCTTAACTTAGTAAGTGCAGAAAGGTAGCTTCAAAACCCCCTTTACAACTCCCTTTCTTCTACATATTTGTTTTGTTTTCAAATGCCGTTAATCTAGTACGGTTAATCACCAAGATATTGTAAAATAAATATCTCTACTTACCGGACTTGAGAGTGTTTTTTTCCATATTACGTGAATACATACATCTAATCTAACTGGGATCTTGTATGCTCCTGTGATTACAAATATTCTCATAACACCTGTGTAATATTGTTGGCCGCTTGAATGCGTCCCCACTGGCACTTGTGCATAAGTCAGTGACTTTTGTTCTCTTATTCATGCGCGTTTCGTTCTGTTTCATTATTTAATCAAAAACTCCCTAATTAAAAAAGTAATAGAATAACTTATTAGAATTCGTTTTTTCTCGCTTATTGTAGAAACCGGTTTGCATTGCTTTCTTGGGAATTTTTCATTGAAAGCGTAATTTGAAAGACTCATACGCCTTGTTTTCATAATAAAGGGAACCAGGAGATAAGTTTCTCAGCAGTTTCTGTTATGAATGCGTAGTTTAGGTTGTTGCATTTTCGCCTGTTCATAAATGCAAATTGTAAAGCACCGGAGACAAATATGGCTCAAAAGGCTGTAAAATTCTTCAGCTATTTTCGATAGAAGGCGAAATGTCACTGAGAAATAAAAACACAAAACACCACTTGAAGGTGAAACCGCTTTTACAAGTGTACCATTCCAATACAAAAGTACGTCCTATTCGGTTGAGTTTTTTCATATAAAACATCCCTTCTCTTAATAAAAGTGGTCAGGCTATCCAGCAACCCGCATTCAGAGCACCTGGAAATCACTTCCTTCTTTAGCGATGGATACAGCCTGCATTTATGCCGCAATAAGTGTGTTGGTCTATAAGCGGCTCCTTTTATATGCAGAATTATAAAGTGAGTGATTAAAGGTGATTTTTAGGGGGATTACCATGAAACCCTTTTTGTTTCCCGAAGGCAACACACGTCATTTTTAGTCTGTGGTTTTTCGACGTTGCATGCTTAGTATACGCTTAAAAGCAAAATAATAATAATCAGAAGCTCCATTTTACCATAACTTTTGTAAGCATCCAACGTTCTTACATGTGCTGAACTAAGCGTCTGCACTCACATCCCCTTTCATCGATCCAAAAATAAAGTTTTGTATTTAGTAGAAAAATTGTGGCATAGAAATATTTAGTCGGTATTGTAAATTGCGTTTTTAGTAATTATCGGAAAAGCACCGTAGAATTCTTTACTAGCCTCGTTTATTAAGAAGGTTTCGCTAAAAGAAGGTGAAATTCACTTGGCATGAGGTTATTGGATGTATTTGCTCTTCAAATCGTGAATAACGTTGGCCATAAACCACAATCAAGAAATGTGGAAGTACAACTTAGATATCCAAGAAATGGATGGGAGCTAAACAGGACAGGAATACTATATTTGGTAGTTTCTAACAAAAAACTGGAACATCGGAGTGACCCCACTTCCAGCACAAAAGCTTTTGATGCGCATGGATCGTTTTATGCAGCAACCGGCTTTGCGTTTAGTCCGATCTTACAACATGTTTTGCTGTTTACATAGTTCTGAGACAAAGGCGTCAGTTTTGCCTAAAATAACAAAGCACCTTCTGGTGAATGTTTCATTTGGGGGATAAAGAGAATTATTATCATCTCCACATTTGATAACAACTAAATTTATAATTTATTAATGCGACGTTTATGAATGCAGGCAAACATTCTTCGATGGATTCGATTTTATGCAAAACCCTTTTTACTTCAGTTAACGACACCAAAATTTGTTCAGCTCTTGAAATAATTCAGATTTTCTGCAAATATGGTTAATGAAATGTCTTTTCAGTAAGGCACTTCCGTAGGTTCGCTCATCCCTGTCGTAATTAAACACTTCAAGATCGAGTTTTCTGACACACCTTTGTTAAACAAGATACATGAACTATATTTGTGTGTGTAACAAAGGAGAAAGTTAAATAGGTTATCCATTTCCGGCACATTCTTAGGCCTCTGCACCCGAGATGTTAATGCTATAAACTTCACAGTAAATATGGGAAAATTCGAATTTAGTGACTCATTTAACTGTAAAAAACCGACCTTAAAGAAAGTACAAGACCTTGTCGTCGCTTTATGTCTTGTCTGTTTAAATCACCACAAAATGGATCTATTTTATTTACCATTGCTAAAATTTTAGCGACAAAATTTAAAGATATATGCCTACGTTCCATATTTTAACTTATTTTACCTCGAAACAGGGTTTAAAGGAGCTTTTAGCTTCTTAAAAGCAAGATCCTATGCTTGAAATAGCAACGCGAGTCATCATGCAGTATTCTAGTGAATTTTTTGTGCATATTCCTTAAACATTTCCATATTCCTTCGCCTAAAGTTATAGTGACTTGTAACTTTTACCAGCCTCAAGGTTAACCAGTGATGCCATTTGAAAAATCCATTTTTTGCGGAGGAAAATTATTTAAACAGCCTATTTTTAGCAAAAATCTGGTGTTATTTAAACTGAACTAAATGAAAATATACTGGTTCCTTCTGTTCTGAATCCATTTATCGAATTTCACAGCAGAACTAAAAGCAGGTGACTTTGTTTTAGAATATCTACTGTCAGCAGACATCCAAGTAGCCGGGACTTGCATGTTTAGAATTAGAGCATCAGTTCCATGTCACACTGACGCCTTTTAAAACATCAGTTTTTAGACTTTTGATAATCAATGTAAGATCACGCTACAATCTTTGATACTTTTAATCATCTCAGCTTAAATCATGACTTTTTCGTCGTTCTTCAACGCAAGTTTTGTACTCAGGGTGGATCATTAATTCAAAGAAATGAGCATATAATTATGGGCATCTCCAGTAATAATATCACTAACGTCTTCATTGTCGTGACAGTTTTATTGACTTGGATGTGGTTTTGTGGCGCCATTCAATCTCCTTGGATGACTGCAATAAAAGTAAACTAGAGATTCACTAATCAAAGCTAACTTTATTTCCCTGAATCTTAAAAGCTTAGACACATTTTTGGAATTCGCCAGAATTGTAGGGTTTGATTTTATTATAGATCAACCGTTTTTTCTTTGATAATGCATTACTAAGTTTAAAAGAGTTTCTCCTCGTACTTTTAGCTACTCCTGCAACGATACTGATTCCTTCCTTCTAAGCATTTGGAAAAGGACTTTTAACCCTTTATATCGGCATGCTTAACATTTAATAATTTTCGGACTTTAAATCCATTCCCATCTGCTATTATATAGTGGAAGGTTCGTAACCACTTCTTGCTCTTGTTTTACTTATGCTATTCAATATTTCAAAGAAAGAGCAAATGCTTTTGTGTTATATGGGTAAATGTGAAGTAGTACCTTGTGTATACATTGTAACAAAGCAATCTTGCTTTAGTTGATTGTACTATTCTAGTGCTAATGGCACTGTTTTTGTTAGTAATCCATGCAAATTCTAAATACCGCCAGTATTTTTTAGTCCCAGAATTTCATCTTAACAGACCAAGACTGATGGTCTCTTTTTTGAGGGATAAACTTTACGCCAATTGATGAATATGCCATCATCATACCTTATAGCAATCGGTTTATAGTGAGTAACTCTAATTTGCATCAAGTTGACCTACTGAGGTCATAAAGTGGTTCAGCTTACAGACTTCAAAGTCTTGACCTCACTAGTAGCAGCCGATTCGATTTAGTTGGGAGGCGATGATAAGTTTATGTTAAAGATCTTATTAACGAATAGGGCTAGTCGAAATAGAAGAACGCGAATCTGATTTTCACTTGATTTTTTTTCCAAAACTAGTTCGACGTTATTTGGAACAGTTTCCCCCCCAGCTAAGTTTGGAGGAATTATTTGCATATTTCATCACCAATCGGGTGCTATTAAATAAACCCCATATGCCAATTTACCCGTCAAGATATGCTTCAAGCATATAATCGAATGATATTTTGATGTTAGGACCAGAAATCGTGAGTAATCAATTACATTCCTGAAAATGTGTGAAATTGCCTATACTTAGCACTGAATTTGGCAGAGTATGATCCGCGTTATGCTCTTATGATTATGACATGACTGCTTCAATAGTGTTAGGCTGCATTTGGCGGTTACATTTTGAAATGAGAATGCGATTGAATGTTGCGCTACCACGACACCATTATCGCCATGTAGACGGCTTGATCTAATGACGAAGTAGATGTTTGATGAAATCGTCACAGACCGTGAGCTCGTCAATCGTTCTATTGAGACAGATAATTTTTCCAAAGAGTGTCACACAAGTGTTTTGAGCCCATCTTCCAAGAAGATAAGCTGTAGCGGAAGAGAACGCACTATTAGATCGTTTGAATAAAGAGAGAAAACTAAAAATGGTACGACTGGTATTGAATCATTCTGTCAAATTTTAAACAATATGAACGGACTATTTGCCTAAAATAGATATTGGGATATAGACTCGTCAAATTTGCTTGTACTCAGGCAATACAAATTATGTACATTCTCCGCCCAAATAAATTCAGATGCCGTTGCTAATTTTGCTTTAAACTATGGCCTGGAGCACGATCATGCAATTTAGCTCACCATCAAAGCCTAATTGCATTAAATTATGTTTATAGCCTGGACTTTCGATGGTTGCTGCGGTCTTCATCCTCCATTATAGGCAGTGGAATTTGAAAGCAATAATAACTTGTATATTGTACTATCTATTGACAGCTGGTCACATCACTTTCTTCGACTCTTTGGCATTTACCACGTCTTAATCGAAAAACAAAAGGAAGGCTAATGCTGCGCTAAGAAAGAGTGATGCAGCATTAACGCACACACTGAAGTAGACGAATTTTCAAGTACTTCAGCTCATTTTTGCACGCATTAGAGCATGCCAAAATGGTATCGGATGATTCTAACAACTGACAAGGAATTTGGATTAAATAATTGCTTGTGCACGTAATAAGTCTCGTCCCTTCGCTTCTGATTGTGGAAATAAATTCATACCTAGCACACATTGGTTTTTTTGCATTCAGATGAAACAGGTGGAAGAGTATATGTCCTATAGGAAGTTGCCAAGGGAGCTTCGAAACAAAATAGTGGACTACTACGAGCACCGGTACAACGGAAAGTTTTTCAATGAAGTGGAAATACTCCAGGAAGTTTCCGAGTGCGTCCGAGATGTAGGTTTAATGAGTTTCTTAAATATCACAACAAATAATGCATGTCTCATGCTATAGTGGTGATATATGCCTTACTCGACAAGCTGCAGTTTTTAATTTATGAATTTGAGCGAATTTATTCCTTTTGAATTGAGGCCTAGGTAGAAATGACGTCATAAACTAATGTGTCCCCTTCTTTACAATATAGGTATTTACCATTGACTGTGTGAATCGCATTAAGATAACACAGCCTACGCCAGTACTCTATCTTTAGCGCAAATTCTTCCACATAAAAATATAGTCAACCTGATACCTTGAGTCAAACACAGTTATGTGGCAAAGTAAACTAGAAAAGTGACTTTATTTCGTTGCATTATTTTACATTCTTGTTATCGAAAGAGCCAATCAGTCGCCTTTGGTGATATTTCTTGAGAATCGACTTCAAACTGCCAGCCACTAGACCTATATTTGGGAAAGAAATTGAGCATCTTGGATAAAATTATTTATGAACATCATTAATTTAAACAGAGCCTCGTAATTTTTCGGATATACAACTGACATCTACCACTTTTAACGGAAATATTTTTACCTCTACTGAACGTCAGGTCGTAAATTCAATGTTCCTTGTAAGCGCCTTTCATAAAGTTTTACTTGTAATACTGCTAAACGCTAGCTTCTTATGACCCATTCTAGCGCAAAGTAGATGCTAGTAAATGCTTTTTACATTTGGTAGATAACGCCTTAAAGGTTATTATAATCCGGCTGTAATTTAGGCAACTTTGTTTCCAAGCATCATTCATCAAACGACAATGAATTATTTGTACTAAACGTTGCGTGCCATAATGTGGTACTTGTCACAGAATTCATTAGCGGGCAAACTGGTATCATGGACCATCTTGAAATAATTTATGTAACAGGATTTATAGTCCTTATTTTTCATAATCCCTATCAACTTTACTAGCAAAATGATGCAGTGTACTTTATTACAAAGGTAAATACTTTAATCTGTATTTCATTAAATGAGAGTCATTTATATTATCTTTTTAGCAAATTATCAACTACAACTGTCGTTCGTTAGTAGCCGCGGTGCCTTTCTTCAAAGACGAAGATGAAAATTTTGTTGTGGATGTGCTCAATCGGCTAAAGTTTGAAGTCTTTCGACCCGATGATGTGATTATTAAGTATGGCACATTCGGTACAAAAATGTACTTCATCCGTGAGGGAACCGTCGACATCGTAATACCCGATGGGAGTGTGGTCAACACTCTCACTGATGGCGCCTACTTCGGAGGTTTGGTTAATTACTACTTTTATGATTAGTGGTAGACTGATGAAATAAAAAGTCCCTTCTATCCTCTGTTTTCAACACTAACCTGCTTATGTCATCACTCTAGGCAACAATTCCCCCCTTTTATGAAACAGCGCTGACTATGACATACATACTCATGAACTGGTTAGCTTGAGATCGCTAGTAGTCACATTGAAGGAAGCAGGCGATTTATTCGTAATCAATTAAGGTATGAAGATTTGTAGTAAACCTTTGAGTAATTTATGCTCAATTAGTCGTAATCATTCAGAGCTCCTCTTATTGATAACTAGTTTCCAATTCGACCGTGTGAAAAACAATTAGAAATAGACATAAGACCTAGAAGTAGGACATTTTTGCAGCATTTATAAACTTAAAATACGAATTATTACTCCCCCTCTTCTGTTTACTTCGTTGTAGCTGCATTTATCTTTACTTGTTTTGGTTTAGTTTATAAAGTGTATCCTTTGGGTTATCTCTATATGACTACTGCTTCCCATTAGACATCTCGACTGCTTCAATATTTGAAATCAAAACTGGAAGCGAACAAAAATAGAAATGTGATTACTTATCTTTAAGACGTGTGTGTACGACTGTCAACTTATATTTACCGGTTTGTCTGTTTTTCCTAACCAACGCTATGTAGATACAGTTTAAATGCTAAACTGTGTAGAATTTCATTTGTTTTCAAAAGAAACTTTATCACTCACTTTTTTCGATATTCTAGTTTTCTGTTTTCTCTCTGCATCACGGTTAAAATTTTGAAAGTTATTATTTGGTCTTGACACGTCAGCTAACTCAAAAACATGGGTTGCTTACCTCAGGATCACTTTGGCGACTATGGCTCAAAGTATTGCAGTGTTGAACAGCTTAACCCTGTGGTTTCATTTGGCCTGCATATGTGCGTGCCTGAGATAATCTTAGTCAAATTTTAATGCATGTGGAAGATTCAACTGTCAGTAAAATTACTTTCCACTTCATCATTTAATAGACAGCAAACTATGTATTGCAGTTACAGGCACTCCAATACTCCGTTTTTTGTCTCGATAGTGTGCTTTATTTATCCGCGAATTTAAGATTGTTATTTGATTTCTAGAAAATTCCACTATTTTCCTAACAAGTAAGCATACTATTATTAACATTTTGCCTTTTTAAACTATAAATATTTCGCCACCTCAAAATCTGAGCAATACTGTAGTGCCCCGATACTTCTCTGAAGACAAAAGAGGACAAAAATGCTCGGGCAGAATATACACATTCGACGCACAGAAGGGCTTGGGGCTACTGGCATAGCTCGGGGGCCATCCTACTGGTAAAGGTGCAATGATGGACACCTAAAGTGGCTTCTTTAAATCAATGTGTCTCCAGTAAATATTCACTAAGTCTCTAAGTATCCTACTAAGCGAATGCTGGCCATATTGCTTACTACTATATTTGAGTTGACGAAATCATACTCATTAAATCGCTCGACTAATCTACCCATTTCGCCAGAAATTTCTTTTCAATCACATAATATTAGCAAAATGAGCTTATTCTTCTTCATCAAACTCACTTTAGGACTGTCACAGATACTCGCCTGTTATAACATCCCTGTGGGTGGTCGCTCTCTCAGCAGTCACAAATTCAGCTGGAAGGCCTGGCTTCCACCCTTCCCCATTCCAATTGATACCCAACCAACCTAGCCTCCACATTCTTATCAAGACAGAAGTGGAATGAAAGTCCAGCTTTTGCCCGCCCTTACTGTCTACGTCTATTTGATTCGTCTATGTCTGCCTAATGGTGTAGTTCTTAATATAGCTTTTTTACTTCTGGTACAGGGTTAGGAAATTTTTGCCGATCGAAAAAGAAAATACCGGTAGTTTTTAGGCTCTTCAAATGTGAACCTGGTTGTTGAAAAGTTTTAAATGCGTAGTAAAATTTCGAGTAGGGTTGGTATACACTGCCAAAAGTTTCAGTTAAACTGATCGAAGATGGGTAAAGATGGCTGTTACTTCTTGTTTTTCCTTCACTCACTTTAAATATTGTAACTAAAATATCAAAAGTTGATTCATCAAGAATATTAGAAATCATTTCATTTTATTTGACATCTGACAGTACTTTACTTATTTTTGGCTTTTACTGCTAAAAAATGCAATGTTTGGTCTTATCAGGCAGTTTAAAATAAAGATAAAATCCCTGCATTAAAAAGGACTAAGTAAAATAGCGGATTTCAGCGGGAATTGGGGCAAATGGCTTCCAAGAGCATAATTATTATGCCATCGCTTAAAGATATTTCGTTTATTTAACAGAAGAACCTAATCTAGTGTTTAAATTTTTCTCAGCGTTTGGTGGGAGCCCAAATGCGGTTTTATAAACAAATAATGCAGCCCGTCTTGTTGTTGCATGTTTTATGGTGCTGCAATAATCTTACTTCGTTCAGTTACATTATTCCGACTTCTCTTTATTGCGCATTTGGAGAGTTTGTGTAGTTTCAATACATTACTAAGCAAAGGCATTATATAGATATTTTGAGGCCATCCGTCCCCTGAATTCACTCTAGGTAAGTTCTAAATTTCATCATCCCATGGCATGGAAAAGTGAATATCACTGCGACTAACTGAAGTGCACATTAACAGGTGCAAATTTGATGTAATCTTCTACATTTTTAAATAGGTCAGACTACTTATTCGCAGTTTCCTTCAAAACCAAAATTAATCAAAGCACTTAACATTGCATTATGTTTGCTATCGGTTCGAAGCTTTGCAGGCCTCTAAGATGTCATAAACTTCTCGTTTGATAAGTAGCTTTCCTGTACTAAAATTAATTGCCGTTAAAATTCGCTCCACTTGGATTTGAGCTTACTCAACGTCTTCCTCCTTCCCCTTTGGCGTGCAGTGCTAGATCTCACTAACTCTTCATTGAAAGGGGGTAATACTTTCGTGACCGTTAACACCCATATTGTTTGGCTACGCATTCGCCGTAAAGGTAAAAAGAAATTTTCTTAAGACTCTATCTAATGTTTTTGTATGAATGTAAAGGTGGTTTAAGACTTGCCATTGTATTGACTTTTATGTTTAGAAAGTGAGATTAATAATTCCTTCACTTAATGTTTGATCGAGCATAGTTAATGCGTATTTTTAGTGCATATGGTTATGCCCTCAATCTCATTTCATGCTCAACTATTCATGTCCCTTTTGTAAGGGCATTAACTTATTAATATATTTTTTCTGTTTCGCAGTGGAAGCTGAGAGCTCTCAAAGTGAAAAAGCGTCAGACCTATTTCGTTTTCAACTGCCCACTAGTTGGTCAACGCGTCGGGGATACCTCTTAACAACTTTAGATATCTAAACAGGGTGCTTATCTAAAGAGCCAGATATTGCACTTCAAAAATGCTAAATTGTCTGGAATTATCTAGTTAAATCAGATCTCATGTTTAAAGCCTAAAGCAAATTCGTAAGAACGACCGAACTAAGTGATTAATTACCCACCGTTTCTATGCTGAAATCACATGAACCTATGGTACTTAAACATAGAATTTAAATGCATTTGTGATAATTAATTACCAGTGACACGAACTGCGTACTTTCCATTCGAAGAGGTAACAAAGCAGTTTCTTGAATAAAATGCATTATTTCTTTAAAATTGCTTACAATTTTCTAAGATATGTGATGTTGGGTTGCATTGAGACCCATCTAGCCTAATGACCTCAAATTTAATGTAGGGTTTTGTTTGTTAAATACGAGTAGTTCACCAGTTAGCAAGGGGATTTTGTATATTTTTAAACATGGACGTTTTACTGATTACCCCTAATAAGCCTATCGTATGGAATGGCACCTTTTTGAAGGGCCATTTTGAAAGATAGAAATACTTGGCAAGGAGACGAGCTTGCCATTTCCATCAAGGTAAAAGACTGTATGTGAGATTTCATGGATGTAAATGAACTTAATTACTATTAATTATCACGGCTTCTTGTTCCCTTATTCACCACCAGTGCATGTAAGTGATCTTGACGACTTTGGCCCTTTAATTTAGCCTCATCTGATGCACACTGTAGCTTTTTTTCGTTCTGTAACCAACTAGTCTTTTGCTTTCTCCCAGATTTTCACAGAAAGCAGCCACTTTTAATTGATTTAGTGGTGTGTATTCAAGAAGGCTTTTCCAAAGTGTGAACGCGAGGGATGATGATTTATTACAATCGTTAGCGATGTTTCCCTCCAAATCTGAAGCACACTCTTTAGGGTATTTCAAAACCCCCATTGATTTCCTAGTGGATTAAATACGAATGAATGCTATTATTTTGAGTAGTGGTCTCCTTTACCTGTGGTATTAATCACAATACTTTAATTGTTTATTTAACTCTCGGTTTCGGTAACTGGGTACTTAGGGCTCCGCCACTGTATCTTCCCTCCAGGAGGCCCGGCCTTCGGGTCCTGTAAGTAGCCCATAAATCTTTATGTAGGTCAAGAATATGCCTTCCATTCCAGCATTATGTCTCCTTTAAGCTTCAGGAAAGTTTCGGAGGGTTACTTATCAACTTTTAATTTTCGTTTTTTGAGTGAATGAGTCATTGTGCGAGAACTTTAAAATCTTCTTCTAAAATTTTCTCCTTGTCAGAGATTTGTTGTAGCAGATTTCGTTGGTTACAAGATATTGCTGTCCAGATGGCTAGTAGCTAACTCCCACTAGTGTGAATATTGTAAGCATGCCTTTTTTGTGGGTGTCCCGATGACTTTTAAACGTTTAAATAGGCCTGGATCACCAGTATTTCAAATAGCTGCTCTGCCCTGATAAAGAAGTTGCCTTTGATGCTAAGAGACATTACGGAGGGCTAAATCCTTCCCTTTTATTTACTTTCTTCTGTAGAGATTGCGGTTCTCACCAACATTCGGCGCACTGCAACGATTCAAGCAAGGACCTACTGTAATCTTTATTCGCTGGAACAGCAGGACCTCTTTGAGGTGCTAAGAAACTATCCTGCAATAAAATCAAAGTTAATGAATGTAGCCGGTGAGAGATTGCAAGCGCTCTCAAAGAAGCGTATCATTGAGAATTGTGGCCACCTCTTCAACAATGAGCCACAGTAGGTTTGGTTTAGAATGTGAGAAAAGAAAACTTATCAATCAAGCAACATTTTATGATATTTTCTATGAAACATCTGCCTCGAAGTCTCCTAAAAATGATATGCATAGGCTAGTGAATCATCGACAAAATTCTTCTCTGAGCATTGATAAAAGTAAAATATTGAGGATACTTCGCTTAGCCCGAGTTAAATTTCCCAGTTTACGTACAGGCATTACATTGATGCGTTTCGTGTTAATTGACCAACGGATTCATTCAGCCGACTCGCAAAAACATTTTATGACAATGAAAAATGGCCATTGTTTAGACAGTGAGTCTACAGTTCTGCAACACAGTAATCGGCAGCGTTTAACTGGTAGCATTGTTTTTTTGCAAATTTAGGGGCACAGCACGACCGCACACTCCATCTAAAGTAATCCATGTAGAGACAGAAATTTCCGCGGAGAATGATTAAACAAAGTGGTTGAGATGATGACAATCGACAAGTGCAGTTCAACTTCGTCTACTTCTCTCCTTATCTCTGTCCTTCTCCACCCGATTCAGTCCAGTTCAACCATCAAGCCTGATTTTCTTCTTTTGACATTTTGTAGTGATCTAGGAAACCCACATTCTGTATATGTGAATCTATTTTGTAAACATCAGAGTACGTGTACACATGCATTTATATTTGTTGATTATAGAATGCCATTGGTTTATTAACGCCATTTATGCATATGTGTGTGACATACGCCAACGCTATCTCAGTAAACCTCACGGTCATTAACTTATTTGAATAGCATGAGTCCGCCGCATGACAACCTAGAGTGGGATGCGTATAACAGAGTGATAACAGACTACTTTCACAGTTCTAATTGCATTGAGTGACTCTTTTATTTAAAATATTTTTTTTTCCTGTCAAAAATATGTTAAGGCCTTTTAGAACGAAGCGTAGCTACTGTAAGGTTCCCAAACCTATTGCACGACCGCTGCCTTTGAACTGTGACTTAGATGTTAACTGCCTGTGATTGCCAAAAAGAATTCACCATGCTTTTTCGTGCGTGGCGACACAATGATGTACTGGTACGGTTCGATTGTTTGAAGGATATACACCTTAATTTCCACCTTGATAGCTTTATTTATTGTTCTAACTATTTACACTTCGCTGATGCAGCGACTTCATCAACTCTACCCCAGCTCTGGTCTCCTGCGCATTTGTTTCTCGTTGAACTACTCATCTTTCAGACCTAAAATTATCAAATCATAGGGCAAATTACAATGCACTTCCAAGCCATATCCTCGACAAACAATTTACTGGTACTCTAGCTTTTTGCACCGCTGATTCAGTTTAACTATGGAGCCCCTAGTTGGAAATTATGATGCTAAATCTACCACTGGCTTTTCACAAAGTTATGTATTGTCACCAACAAAAATAGTCTTACTTCAGATAAGTGTTTAAAGAGGTAGTACACCTCTACGGAACAAAAGAACCAAGAGGTTGTGAAAGCTTAAACTTACCTTGTTAAGTAGTAAAGCACTTCACCCACATAAGTGAATGACTTACCCGTTCAATGCTAAGAAGTGACCTTGTCTAAGAGGTTTAAGATTCAGCACTGGAATAGCAGCAAACGAAGAAATAATGTTTCGTACCTTCTGCATGGAAACCTTGCATTTTTGGCATAAATGTTAGATATCGCGTGGCTTACACTACTAACCTCTACACCGTTCAAAATATAATGAAGTTATTTGTGGATCTACCACTTTTGTAATGGCCTCCAGGGTTGACTCGGTTGCTCATCCGCATCATGAGACTCCCAATCATTCTCAGATTCAGATTGAATCGGTCTAATATGCACAAAAAACCCCGGTTAAGGCAGCATTCTAGTACACTTCCATCGTAGATTAATGAAATTAGACTCAACAAAGCGGATTGCCGCGAAGTTGACGAAAGTCCAGACGCTGCCGTGGCACTACCTACAAGTGCTAGGCCTCATCCTAATAAAAGTGTAGGCATACCCAACCCTAGAATTACACATCACATCCCAGGTCCATAAAGTGCAGATACAGCCAGGAAGGGCCATTCACGTTTAAATATGCTTCAGATATAATAATAATGCGGAACCGCTCAGACCAAAGCTTTAAGTAAGATACACAAATTTAAGCAAACCTTCCCCCAAACTTTATAAAGCAACCGCAAACTCAGAACGTGACGCCTCACCGGAAAATTAAAACAGGGAACCGGGTAGCGTTAGAGTAGCACTGACGCCCACGATCTAGAATTGACGCTCATCAAGGGATTCACCCAGTCGGCAATGCATCCTCTTTTCTGTGTCAAAACTTATCTATCAAATGAAACCACCTAGACGCGTCTGAAGCAAAACGGCCGGAGTAGCAGTTAAGGACGACACGCCACGCCCACCATAGCAAAAAATCCTCCACTCGAAATGCTGAAGTCATCTTCGCCACAACCTTCCAGGTGTTTATAAACCAAGCCTCTTCAAGATATCCACTACATGTGGTCAAAGATCAGATAGAGGGCAGTGCTACCACCGATGGTAACATTTGAAGGCCACATTGTGTCCCTCCGTAAATGCAAAAGGAACAGAACAGTGATGAATGGGGGTTCATATGCTCACAAATGGAACCGTAGAAAAGGGAGATGGGATTGAGGGACAAGGAGACAGAGAAAGAGTATGAATTTCAAGAAGACTAAGCGCGCACACACACAAACGCACAAGCTAGCGCCTTGAAGCTGCGTTGGCTGCAGTGCGATTGCCACCACCACCGCCGCCACGAACCGACCCACTTCCGCGGTTTCCGCGACCCGCACCGCCTCCATTATTCCGCATGCCTTCACGCGCGCCCCCAGACTGAGTAAACCCCCCACGTGGCTGTTGTTGGTGTTGAAATTGCTGCTGTTGGGGTAATTGGGCCTGTACACACTAAAATAAAAGCATATCGACAGGATGGCTCAATGTGGACGCCAGTCCGAGAACCGTCAACCTGTTAGATCAAGAGCCTGTTATTTTGTCACTTGCACTTGCAGCAAAACGGAAATAAACACTAATTAGGAAAGGATAGATAGCGGAATAGTTATGAGAGCCAGTAAAAAATGCATGTACCAAGAAACCTTCCTCAATTTGCATAAGATTCACCTGTAAAATTATCCTCAGCAAACGATTTAACAAAAACTGGTTAACACATGCTTTCAATAACAAATAAGCTCCAAACTCACATCACCACGATCGCCGTTTGAGTCTCTGCGAGTATCTGTTTGGTGTGGACGACCTCCGCTGCGAATTCTGTAACAGATAAGATTGGCGATTGGAGGAAGAGAGGGTTTTACTTAAACGTACTGTTTGGGTAGTCCAAGTTTCTGTGTACTACTAGCCGGAGTGTTGGTCGTTGGTTGTTCCACTGGTGGCGGCTTTGCAGGTTGAGGTTGTGGTCGGTAAGTGACTACAGAAGAAGCTGGGGCGGAACCTATATTCCCGGATGCTCTCTGCGCCCAGCTCATAGGTGCAGTCGAAATTGGTTGTTGTGTGAGTGGTTGCAGCTGTGCTGCTGGCAATGATTCTCGTGGCGGTGGAGGTGATGGTGCCGGCTGGGACTGTACCACCTGTGCTGAAACCTGTTTCTCAACTACTTTTTGAGGGGGAGGCTCGACCAGAGGTTTGGGAGTCGGAGTGCGGGGAGAAAGTGGCCTCTCTGCTCCTCTTGGTTCCGGTTCTTGTTCTACCGTCTGGGGTACCTCTGATCGCTTCTCGTGGGCTTGACGCTTTTGTTCTTGAGCAGCGCCATTAGAAGAGCCTTTTGTGACAGACTTCTCGGAAGTAGGCTTCGTGCCCCTTCTCGCTTCAGTAGCTGTATCGCCTAGGAGTGGAGCCATGAAAGGACAGCCTACCTGAAGCGACCTTGGACTCCCCCCTTGCAGGAATGTAGACTCGGTCCTGATAGCGCAGTATGTCACTTAAGACATAAAAATCTGCGGGACTTTTCTCAAACAGTGTAAAGCTACGCATAAAGCGACGGAATGGTCCATTCGAGACACTAATCTCACCGGATATCTGAATGAAAGCTTAGGTAATAAGCGTAATTAAAACCTGGACAAGAGCCGAGTTATTGCATGCCTTCAAAGCATCTATTTTCAAGATTATAACACGCGTCTCCCGCAGTTTTAGCTTAGAGAAGGCATTGTGTATTTCTGTCTGACCACATATAGGCGGACTCTCATAGATTAAAGTAGAGTCCTCCCCGTAGAATCGGTGCAAAAGTTCTGGACACTTGTTCATAACAGAATAATACTGCAGAACGAATTGCTCAGCAAGATTTGATAGCGCCATAAAGTCCATTTTAGGCAGCGACGGACCTTCAGTATTGACATCGCCGTTGGAAACCATTGCGCGCGCAAAGAATACTAGGAGAATGGTAAGCTACTTGGGAAAGAGGGATATACCCACGACGCAAAAGTAGAAAAGTAATTGGCTCTTGTAGGGGTACAAGTTAATAAAACAACGACATGTAAAACAAGCCATGCTAATCATGCGCATTACAAGTTTTATTTATTTGGAGTATAAACTGTTGTAATTTTTTAGAATAAACACGTTAATATACCTTTAGTTTAAAAAGTGCTTTATTTAGCTATGTAAATTTGACCCGAATTTTTATATTGTTTCATCACAGGGTTTTATTTATAATAGAGTTTTAGCAAAACCATATGCGTTTCAAAATACAAGGCTAGTATTAAAAGTGTAGCATAGTTAATTTTTAAAATTGAGTGACGTCGTCGTTTACGGAGGGAACCAAGCTGTCTCTTAAGGATTAGCCACAACCCTAATTTTGACACTATTTAATGCTTTTCGTATATGTAGCACTCAAATGCACTCTTTATTCTTACAAACCATTATGGATGAAGCCCATACTTTTAAACAGTTTGCTGCTTTTTTGTGTTTTTCATGCATTTCAAGTGTTGATTTTGCAATTTTTGCTTCAACTGCTTACTAATCTTTTTCTGAGGAACTGTAATTAGAGATAAACGTATTTTAATGTTTGACGAAAAAGTTGTGGTCTGCAGCCTTGGAGCCACCGCTTTTTAGTAAACTTCTATTGTTTATTCGGCCCTCGAAGTTAAATGTATCAGTAAAACCCAGTAACTGCCCTCTTGCTATTATCGCTCCCATTAGTAGTAATTAGCATTGCGATATCCTATTTAAACATGTGCGTAGCACATGTTCGCCCTCCTCAAAGCTGTAATAAGCCAAAGTAGCATGACGGTATGTATGTTGCTATAGCATAGAAGAGATGAAAGGCCATTATTTGAGCTATATGCCGCAGAGCTCTTGATCCGAAGTACTTGCGTGGCTCTACACACAGATAAACAGAACATTAGTTCGCTACGTCTACAATAATACCAACTTCTAACATTGTAGTTTTTCCCAATATATTACCGATTTATCAAATAATACCACCTAGATGTTCACTTTTGCATATTTTATGGGGAAAACCGTAACTATTATTGTTTCCAGTTGCAAATTATTTAAGAAATTTGCAAATCCCTTTAGACGGTTTACTTCTAGCTACCCGCTAAGCGATTAGTACTTTTAATATATATTTTGATATGCGGTATGATGGCACTAGAAACCGCTTCCAGCAATAATTAGTTTCTTTGCTTTTGACTTCTGTGTGCTTAATTCAGTAAGAAGCACATAAATAGCAAGAGGTCTCTTTATTGCACCAAACTTGGAAATGAAGAAGCTTTTTACTTTAATCAGCATCAAATCTTCTCCTCGCGTAATTCCACATGTTGTTCGATACCGTAGCTGCATGTGCAAATACCCTCGTTGGTGAATACTACCGATACTGGGTTTCCATTTGGCAAGGGCTTAAATCCCTGCTCCGGCCTTAGAAATACTCGCAGATCGTCAATATTGAGCATCGTGACAGGTTGTTTGCGTTTGTTACGAAGAATTACAGAGATCTTTCCCTCGAACACTGTGTCGACCTGGAATATGCCTGTGTAATTCCCTTCAGTAATAACGAAATCAGCTTTGGTTCGATGACCCGGTTGAATGACAACCTTTAAAAAGAGGTAAAAATATGATATTGAAAAATATATTAGTATGAACTCTTTAAAAGCGCATAAACAATCGCTTTAAGACTTGAGTTTTCCTAGATTCTAGCCCAGTTCAAGGCGGTTTGGTTTAAAATTGTATGATTCTAAGAACACGTAATGCTAAAAATCTGCACATTTATGTTAGAAATGAAATTTTAAAAGCACATGCATTGACAATGATCTCGCTAGATATCCGGATGGATAGTTAGGCAGTAGGCTTAATTGAAACCTGAGCAGAGGCCAAATTCTTAGAGACCTTCAAAGCGTTGGTTTTCTTGATGATAACACGTGTAGTAGTAAGCAGTATGGATGTCAGCTTGACATGAATAAATGGACTCTCATAAAATCAGTGTGTGGACGAAAGTCACCTAAAGCCGTCCAAGATGAAATTTGCCCCATTTGAAATAAGAGATTTTTGAGTAAAACAGATCGCAGCAATTTTTTTATTTGACTAAAACCTTCTTAAGAATCTGTCCATCTAAAGCAGATAAAAGTCCCACAACTTAGATTTATGAAGATGCAGTCTTTGTTTGATGTTACGCGCAAATTTTGAGATATGTAAAGAAAGGAGAGTCTTCAAAAAGTTTAAAGTAAGGCTTTTTTCAAAGCCAAATTTCAGCAGTTGAATTTTCCATGTGCCGTTTAGTTTGACTTGACATAGTATAGCAAGTCGCCGTGATTAGGCGTCTAGCAAATTGGACTTTGGACATGCAGTTGGTGTAAAATAGCCCGGGAGCGGGACAAAAAAAATACTCACTGTTAGAGTCCGATCTACGACGTTTTCGTCAGTGGAGCTATACAGACGTAAGGGAGGAACTGTACCCGTTTTTACTATTGCTGTAGAGTCTTCGCATTGATTGGAGTCGCATGCGTATTTTTTGTAAATGACATGCATTATTCCCAAAAAAGAGATTTTATCTACCCCCTATGCGACTGTGTACCTACCGCGAATACATTGTGAAGTCCAATAGGCTTTCAGCAAGCTAAGAGATGACATTAGAGATAACTACTGTCTCCGCAATTATTATCAAAACATGGCCTGTTCTGCTAAAACCTGACAGTAACATGAACTTTGTTATTTTTTTCTCCGAGTCCGAACGTATTGTATTTCGGAACGAAAATGTGAAAGCCTGGTTTGTTTGGCATTTGTAGCTGAATTTTTCGACGAGTTACCTATGTTGAATGATGGAAGCGAGCATTTCCAAACGGACAAAAGTCTAACCATTCTATTTAAATCTGTAAATCGAGTATTTAACCTGTACAAGTTCTATCTTCATGGTCTCACTAATACCTAGGTTACTACATTGACCAACATTTACTTTAAGGCTGCATTCTCCTAAGGATGGGAAAGCTATCATTATTTTATTTGTGCCAAGTAAAAATGGCGGATGATTATGTGCAGGATTAGAATTCTGATTATAAACTTCTATCCTGATGTCCAAAATGGCGTATTCATAGACCTAATCAATGTCATAGAGCCTGTCCCAATCATATGCCTCTGGGTTCATCAATAGCCCTACAAATCCATCAGACCCCGTCGATAAAACCCGGTACGATCCATTTTCATGACGCCACGTTAAAACGGGTTGTTCTGGCCGAGAGCCAATGAAATTCGAGACTTGATTTGTGAACGCACCAATCACGTAAACGAGCGGAGCCGTTTGCCTCTACATCCACGTTGCCATAACAGGGAGCTTCCTATCTAGCGCGCATTGTTATTTCGGCCAATCCTTTCTAAATGTAGCTCTCTGCCAATTTAACGATGAGCACTTATTGTGTTACACACTGTGAAGTACATACTTGAGTGAAACAAGAATAAAGGATGGATTTGTCTTTTGAGGTCCGATATTCGCCTTGATAAAAGCAGGTGCACCACTTGGACCTCCAAACATATACTATATTTGTTTCTATTCTTACGAGTTAGGAATCACAGATTAAAATAAAACCAAACTTAAATTTGAGACAGTGTAGATTAGATTGTAGCTAGTATTTGTTTCAAACTATTATTTTTACTGATAAAAGTGCTGTTGGAGTTATCGGTGTAATGAGCATTTCCACAGTGCTGTTTTTGGATATGAATCCATCATTCTTATTTAACATTAACAATTTATTTGCTAACTGCACAGCTTGTGTTTGACAAGCTCATTCAAATATATGTGATGCCAGATGTTGCAGTCTACCATATGCCGCGAAATTGTTCGTACCTACTATCAGAATCGAAGTCTCGGTACTTATTTAATGTAGGGCAAGTATATAAAACACGGACAAATCTTTTATTCCTAACAGATAGTCAGCCCAATGGAAATTCTTATTCATATGAAAACCAAATTATGACCGTAAAATCATGGTAAATTCCAAATAGTATAAGATCAAATGGAAAATACACCTAAATGGATGAAGCTAGTTAGCCAGTTAATAAAGACACGAAAAGTGCTTCACCTCTTCGTGTCCTGCTTGTAAGTTACATGGTAGCTATCGCCATCACAGTGGTCGGATGTACTGACAGAATTCAGACCCCTCCATCACTGTTTAAACCAGAGAAGTCACGCTTTGCAAACGGTATCATGGTTCAGCCTTGTTTTTCAAGGGTTCCACGCTCCGGCTACGTGACAGATACCAGCAAGCTTGCTATAAATAAAATGACTTCCCTCTCCGACGTTTGTGATAATTAATACTTATCTGCAGAAGACATTTAATATTCACGAAACGGGCGCTAGCTAGAGCACAAGGAATCGGATTCTCGGTCAAATTGGTAGGTTTAGATTCGCGTAGTTTTACGTGCAGGTAGTAAGAGCCATAATCATCAGCTCAATTTAGATCGGTAAGTAGGGGCTTTAAGAGTTGGCACAATTCTAATTAACCAATCTGTATGAAAGGTTCCTTTTTCCATTGCTTCCATTACCTTTATTTTGTGCAAAAGACAAATATGCTGTCAGTTTAATTGGAGCTGGCTTTGCTAAATCTGTCATTGCTTCACCTCAAAAAATTAAAAAGGTGGCTTTATGCTAATATTTGATGCTAATGGTGATCATTCACATTAATTGGTGATGCATAGGTAGTGTGACTCTCAAAACCGTAAACACAGTGGCTATTTACCATTCGCGAAGCCACTAAACCTTTGATTAAGGCCTGGCTTGAGAGATTACCGTGATGTGCGCGTCTCTGTGTGTGAATTCCTAATGAGGGAGTCTCTCAGCTTAACACACTACAAAAATGCAAAGTGGCCATGGCACAGGATTGCTACGGCAGCACCAGTTGCAAAAGCCAAATGTCACAACAGTCGCTCGAGGTGCATATTTCAATCCATAAGTTTTGAAATGAACGACCGAATTACAGCAAAAAGTGGTTTATCTTGATATAAAAGGGAGATATTCTAAACACTTATTCCGTAGAGCTGGAATCATAAATGGTAATTATCGCAGTGAAACGTTGTATTCGGAGTAAACCTTCCACATTTTGAAACCCACCGCCTTTCCTAAGGATTGCAAAAGCAGAGGATGGTAGTTTATTAAATTAAAGTGGAAAGTTAGAATGAATCAGAATGCCCACACGCATCTCGTCTCAGAATTAGGCAGATGAGTAAATTAATAATTCACCGTCTATGCATACATTACCAAGATGCTCACTTCCTTTTATAAAATTGTTTGAAAAGGGCAAAATACCCCGGGTACTGTAAACAAGGAGTAAGTAGAGATAAAACGCAAACGCTAAATTTGGGAAGAAATGGAATCACTTCTACAAACACGATACTATAAACGGAATTTTTGCCTCTTATATCGGAAATAATCCTAGATTATTAATGTTAATAACAAGTGAAATAACTGTCAGCAATCTGACAGGACCTTTGATTGAGCATATTACTAGGATCTTAAAAAAGAGGTCCTTTAAATGTCTCAGTTAGTTCAAATTTTGCGAAGTGTTTTACATTGGTCTAAAACGACTAAGAGTCACTCAAAGGCATCCATTAGAATTTGAATCATAGACAACATAACTTATGCGTTAATAAACTGATCCAATATGAACCATGCAAAAAGTAGAAGCACGTGTAATTCATAAAATTAGGAAGAAGTCTTGGATTTAATATAGTATGCTCTTCCTATCGGCCATCAATTATTTGAAGCTATGTTCGCAAGTGATATGATCTGTTTTTCATGAATTTTCCTGATTTTTCATAACCTTATTATCTCTACTGTTACATTACATTCAATTTTGTCGTCATCGGTTGATTCAATCAAAACACATCGGAACGCCTGACTCACCTGGGTGTCAAGAGACCAGCAAAGCTCCTCCTCCATCACCTCTTCCTTCTCCGTGGTGAGAGTCTTCTCCTTCGAAAAACCTCCATTGGCCTGGATCATGGTGTTGGGCGGAGAAATCTGCACATTAATATTCCCATTACGCGTAACCGTTTTGGTGAGCTGCAGACGACATGTTGCGGTGGTACGCTTCTCCGCTCGCAGGCTGTGTGTCTGTTCGGACGAAGTAGAATTGTCAAAGGTGGACGAGAAGATAATACAGGTGCGGGGACGGCCACCCACGCCGGTAGAGGGAGGACAGGTATTCTCTTCGTGGCGGGAGGCGAGATTGCGAATTCGAAATTTTGACTCCACCACACAGGAGGCGTCCAGGTTATCAAAATCAATGCGTTTTTTTACTTTTTCATTGAAGGGGAACTTGCGAACGTAATCAAAGAGAAGGTCATAGACGTCCACCGTCTCTAGTGACGGCATTTTGCTAATTAGCTTAAAAAATTGATCAGAAAGGAGGCATTCTGAATAAAATGGTCAAAAGATTGCAAATATGAAACTCCAGATCTTCAATGGTAGATTAAAATGAAATTAATTACAGGGCAATAACTTGTCGTTCATAACACAAGAACTAGCACAAGTGATGTTTAAGGAAATTCGCGTGTTCAGCACTTTGACCCTTAGATGTTTGGAGAGACAAACGAATTGAACCCAAGGTTCTAACAGGAATAATAGTTAAATGAATGATTGTTTAAGGTGCGAATTTTAGCATTTTTGCAATCCAATTATCTAAAACTAAAACGGAGCATCGCTTAAGCTGATTTTACTCCCATTGGGACCACATAATAATGTATACTAGCAGTAAGCAAGTTATTTCGTAGTTTGGACGTCTAATAATTTGTTAACCGCATATTATACTATACGAGCACTGCATGTGGCCTAGCCATTAGCTTCCCAACCCTTCTGTACGTTGGTTATATATGTTTTTTTAGAGTACTTTGGTTTCTTACGACTTCAGGGAAGACTTGGGGTCTACATTCACATAACCAGACTCATGTCATCCATGAAGAACACTGCAGTGGAAAACTCTGTTGGACCCACTGAAGTCAGGTCTTTATATGTTATTTTTTTGCACTGAGTTATGGAAAATAAGGAGTACCATAGGGAGTTATAGAGTATTAAAATATTTTGTGGTTATTTAATGATTTACAACGGATCAAATATTTCTTTAACTTAAGAAAAATTGCGAGTACTTTGCATAATCTCTTCTCATATTAAAACACGGATATCAAAAAGAAATATAAATGACAAATTTTTTTTAGAGGCTGCCGAAAATGTGCGACATATCTAGGATAAAATGTGGCAATATGTAGGGATATCAGGAGGCCAATATGTAAACCCATTTGCAGGCCAATAACTAATAGCACTGATGACCAAAAACAGGTCAGGAATTTTTTCTTTGCTCATCACTATACAAAAATATAAAGAAGGATTTCATTTTATCCATAATTGTCTAAATAAAAAAGGGACTTTAATAAAATCGCTCGTAGACAAAACGTTCTCTCAACCCATTGTTTGGGCCCAATTCTCCCCCTGGGGCTAGAATATAACCTGTCATTGGCTATTCATAGACTCGAAGAGTCTTTATCCATTGCTCACAGCACCTACTTACCGATAGAACAAGAGAAAACCAAATGACGCCTTCGTCAGGCATTTCCCAGTTAAAATCAGCTTTAATGCTTGCTAATACCCCCATACAAAATAAGCTATCCTTTATTAACCGACTATTTTAAAGTAAAAAGCGGAAAGGAGTTGTGTTCTTAATAAACACCGAAATTATCCCAGCTCTAACCGAGGCCTGCTCACGTTAAACGCCACAAAGGTACCACAAAATGCCTCTGATTAAAATATTTTGCAAAGCACTTCATTCCGGTTGACAACCTCCTCTTGGAATATAAATGATCTACCCACTAAAATGAAAGGACTTAAAACAGTAAATATGCAAAAATTCTGAACATATGTAATTTTTAAAATCTAAACGAAAGTGTAGTTAGGTACTTAAGAGGTGGTATTTTAAAGGGTTTGATATAAGTTGTGAATGCCGAGGGAAAATGACTGATAAACACATTCTCACTAAATGTATGGACTTAGCTTGTAGCTAAATGAATAGCTTACCTGATTTGAGGAGGTCGGAGAATTGGCTAAAATTCACATAAAAACATTTTAGATATAGCTTTATGGCGAAGTGGAATAAAGCGGCAGTATGAAAATCCAATCCCACAGAAGCAAATGGGAAAGCAGTTCCCTTGTTATCAGAAAAGCATTGCGCCACACATATATCCCTGGCCTTAGCACTTTTTTTCAAATGGGTAGTAGTATCTGCACGTAATTTTGTCTGACTCTTGGAGTTAGAGCCAAAAATGAATCATGTTAATATGTTCCTTTAAAATCGAAGACTACAAACACTCAAAGCGTAGAGCATGAGAAGCAGCAACAATTCAAGGGTGCGAAAATTACTGAAGAATCCCAAAAAACAACCTACACAGCACCGAGCACAATCCACGTGTATTTATGAATCCGAAGGCGACCTAACCAACCTCATTGACCACGTCCAGAGCCAACCAGAGCCTTGGGTTTGCGCATAGAGGCGCACGCAACAGGTGCATCTGATTCGACCACACGCGTGCGCACACGATGGCAGTGGTGGTGATGATGCTGGGGAGAGTGGAGGCAGCCTTGGGAACAAAGGGAGTCTGTATTAATCATCGATTAAGCAGCATCGGCAACACCGGCAAAGGCACCATTGACGGCGGTGTATGCGTGTGGATGTCAGTGCCTGTGCCGTGTGGTGCCGTCCCAGGAACACCTGTCGGTTAAACTACTTTCTCCGTGACGTCTACAGATGCCACGTGTGATTTTAAACCCCTTAATTTTAATTGCCTGACTTATGAAACCTTCAAGTACTGCTTGTGCAAAAGGTGCCCTATGGACTTTTATTTGAAGCCCTCGAATGCAAAAGGTGGTTTTCCCAGCCCTTGCTTTACTAATTAGGTTTATGATTTCGCTTTAATTCCTCCTAAATATGACAATCAGGAAACAACAATATTTCCAAAGATTGTTTAATACTGTCTCTACTTTAAATCTCTCAGTCAATTAGAAATCATGCTTAAAAGCATCTTGAGTGGAGTTGCATTATTTGTTAAGACTAAAGTGTCTGTCAATCAACTTACTACATTCTATCTACAGATTTATACTTAGATTTTAACAGGTATTAATTTAAATCCTTCAAATGAATCGCGTTTTTGTGTAGAAGTTAAACCTACAATCGACAAACATTAAAAGGCTTTAAGGGTGCCATACAAGGCCATTTTTGTTGACGTTTTTAAGGTAATGATGCACATACTTTTTGTTTATTGGTGAACGGTTAGTTGATAACATGGGATATACATGTATATGAAGGTTAACCTGTCCGATACAAAAGTGACTGTCATGAAATACGGTGGAGAAATTCATGTAAAATGCCATCTTTACTATTTAACATATTAAAGAAATGTAGGAATTTGGTACAGTCGAAACTGTGGGATATGTATAATAAAATCAGGTAATTCTACTGATTGTTGTCGTATTCTTAATGCAATGCATTAAGTTAAAGTTAAGAGGATATTTCTTAAAATTTTGTAAATTTAAGGTCACCTTTCGAAACAGATTGCATTCCAATCAGCGTGTCTACTTCCTTTGCAGCAAAAGTCGAAGCCGGTCCTATGGATGACCGCTGCACTGAAAAATTTTAGACTGACCTTTATTTTGCAAATAATAGCCCTAATAATTTTCGGTTGCTCGGTTAGCAGACGTGTCAAAGACTGCGGAATGAACCACATTTAAAGACGGATTTAGCCCTTATCTAGAAATGCGTTTAAATACTTGCATTTTACCCATAATACTAAATTGGGATTATAATAAATAAGAGAGGGTAGGTGTGTTTTTTGCTTTCAGCTAGAGATTTGCCCCTAAAACTTTTCCATTTTGAGTAGGGGTCTGTGCAAAATGCAGAAATTTCCAGAGGAGGTGCAAATTTTCAAAATTATATGGTGTCAGCGCAAAAACCCACTTCTCTGGTTCCCTTGTCAACTGGTAAACGAATTATTCTGGTAAATAAATAAATATTTCCGACGAAACAAGTTATGTTATCCCTGTTTCCAGTGCTATCCTTGGGCGCTTCCTATCGGCCCCGGGCTTACACTCCGGGCTTTTCCCAAGAGTGCCACATAATATGAGCGCACTCATAGCCGTTAAATTGCATTGTTTTGATACATTTCAGGCCCCGTTTCGGTTGGACAATGGGAATTCGGTACAATACATTGCTCAACCAAAACATGGGAAATTCCTCCAATGTACGGAAGCAAAATACTTTCTCGATTTCAATGGGCAAGTGATTTATTCAGGTTTGAATGTCGTGCGAGAAATAAAATTTGAAATAATTTTTTTAATAGCTTCTACCGATTTACAACGTCTACTTTGAAAACTGCTTTATTTTGCAAATTCGTATCTCTAATCAACCCTTACATTTCACCCTTGTGATTCGTTCGGATTACCAATATTTCTCCCTAATTTCCCTTGTCTGAGTTCAGATTTGAAATAGCAGGTTGTAAATCATTGGCTCGATGTTTTGATGCCACAAAAGTGACGGAGTGAAATATCTACTCGCCTCTCAAACCGGATAGATTCTGCCTACATCTGCGTGGGTTATAAAACCTAAATTTTGGCAACTTTTATCTTGTAAAATGAAATTGTTTCGACTGTTTTTAAATGCAAAACGCTATTTAAATGGCAAGAATGTGATTTGCTCTTGCATCAATTAAAGTAGTGTTAAAATGGAAGATTAACTCATCTTAATGTACGGCTTTAAATCCACTGGTTACAATTTAAAATCAACTTCGCCAATTGGTGTCCAAAAGTTATGCCAAATCATTAGGTGTGAATGAAAATCCTCATAAAATTTATGCTCCTCATCTTAAAATATAGACGGCAGAGAACGTCCCAAGTATTTGTATAACCAAAAAACTTAATGTCTTTAGAGCTAAAAAGGTTTGTTTTGGTGGCTTAAAGATAATCAACTTAGGTGCTTGGAAAAAATCTTAACAAGACACTTAAAGCGACGCTTTCCTTGTAAAACGATGACAGTTTTTTGTGTTGAAGCAACGTCTACTGAGCGTGAGAGGAAACTCCAATCAATTAGGGAACAGGATGAGTTCTGCGCGCTAGATAGAGGAAACTGCTCCAATTTGTAATCTTCAAAAATAACTTTTAAACGATTACTTGGTAGTTTAATTAAGGATTTACAAATTGATTTTTATGCAATTTCCAAAGTGGCGCCTGAGGGGGACATTTAATTTGTCTGTATGTGTATAAGATCAATGACCATATCATAGTGAATTAATTGTAAAAAATCTGAATTTTTCTTCGCATCAGTTGCCATTTCCTTGAGTAGAGTTTTCTTTGCTTGGTTCTGGAATTCAAAAACCCAAAAAGGCGTAAATAAAATTAGCATGCTCCTTTCTTTCGATACTCTATCGATGATAACGTAATCTAAGTCACGACTAAGTGACCTTTGCACAGGTGCATTGCTTTGCAAAAAAGTAAATTGTATGACTTATTACCCGTTATTTTACTTTGGTTTCTTATTAAGTGATAGAAAAGATTTAAACTATACAATGTTACACTTTTTTACTGGTGGGATTCGAGTTAATGATAAAAGAATTGCTTTGGGCCACCAACGGTTTTAGTAGCCCTAAAGTTGTTCCAAGCTTTCGTCACTATAGAACTTTTCTTTCCTATGCGATCACAACTTTGCGGGAAAAAAGGGGATCCCTACTTTTAAGGCATCATTTTTTGAAAAAAAAGCGTCTTACGCAAAGTGTCAAGTTAGTCATTGAATGGCAGTTTTTTTCCTGTTTTGGACACCTCGAGCTTTGTGCTGTGAAGGAAGCTGGTATAATTTTTTCTACATCTGAAGCAGTACTTTTCAGTAAATAAACCACTTCATGCGTTAGCGCTGCTTTTTGAGTATTTTGTCGGGATCGTTTCGAAGATCTTTGGCTTGCACTTTCATGGAGGTTGTGACTGTTTTCCCATTTCTGTATGACCACAATTTTCAGCTTATTTTAATGCTGATTTTAGGTGTGACCTAAGCTGCAAACTTATAAGTGATAATTTTTCTATAAAAACGTCATAGTAATTGACAAAATTCATTCTTAGGAACAGTTTGATTAAAAATATTCCATTCCCAGAGCGTACTCAATCCGTAATAATTGGATCCATATATTTGAGCGTTTCATTACATAAGATATACTTGAATATCATCAGTGCTTCTCTCTCCTAACTCCATTTTTGGGTTTGGACTCCGTGGATTCAGGGGAGAAAGATCATATATATTTGCAAAGTTTCACAGATTATCAAGGTTTATGAGGGCATCAGAGTTTGTTTCCTCCTAGGGGCTCGAAGACGTTTACTCTGCAACGAAGTTGGAGTAAAGTAAACGCATGCAATCAAAATGCCGTAACCAAACAAACATGCATCACATTTTCTAATACCACTTCTAAAGTTCAAATGCTATGTGCAGTAATGACTTGCAGGACGAATGATTGTAGTGTATTATGAGAAGTTTACAGGTAGAAGTGCAATATCTTGTTTAATTTGTGCAACTTTTTTATCCTTAGAGTTTTTAAGTCCGATACAAATTTTCTGCACTTCGATTTAGACATTTTGGGAGTTAGATTTTTACATCAAGCACTAATAGGCACAACTTCCAACAAAAATTAGCACTTGTCCTTATGACTTCACCGCATTTGACTGTAATATTGCAGCCAGGTTTAAAATTACGACGCTTGTGTAATTATATAATTGCATTGCATATAAAGTAAGTATTCATGATAAAACGTATAATATGCCTAATGAAAGATTCGGTTCTACCAGACATAAAATACATTAACACATATGGCTCTCCAAGTCTTCCATGAAGACGAAAGAAGACATGATGCCCTAGCAGAAAACGTATATTTTTCCTACGGCAGGACCTGGGGTTTCTGACATGGCTAGGGGGTTATCTCACCTGACAACCGCACAATGGCAAGGCATCTAAGTGGCCCCTTTACCAAAACCGGGAGATAAATATACAGCCGACACATCACACAACTCCTTTTCCCTTCCTACCGTCGTTTCTAAAGCTCCCTTTAGTCGACCTTTCGAACCGGCTATCAAAATGCAAATGGTGCTGCAAGAAAATACTCACCAACAAACCGTGTCAGTCATTTATTTTCCGTGTAAGTAAAAAGATAGTTAAGTACCATGTCAGCGATCCTCCTTGAGAATTCTGATAGATCTGAAGTTCCGTCCTGGTGGGGAACTGGATTTGGAGAGAGGGAAATGTTCATAATTATCCGTAGGGTCTACCGGACTAAAAGCCGAGTCATGCAACAAAGGACGGTCTTTAGTCTATTCCTCCTTGCCACGTTATTCTCAGTTCAAAGATGCCTAACCATACCTACCTGGTATCAATCCAGACAGTAGGGAAGTGGAGGAGGTATCGCATTTTTACATCATTGATATCTGCCTACAGGTAAGGTGAACAGCTCCGTAAAGAACCTTTTCAGCTAGTTCACAACTAGTCCCACTCCAGTTATTGAAAGCTTTCCTGCAGACTACGGGGTTGGAGTATTTGCCCAATGTGGACATCACTTTTAGCCTTTCTGTTGGGTATCATCACCGATTCTCCCATCCGTAGTATATGGACTTCTTTTGCTCCGTTAAGGTCTACCACCAGTGTGGCGCCTCTAGACTTCCCTGAAAATAAATGAAGTTGAAATACTTGGGCGGCAAACGTATTGTCGACATACAGAAGGGCTGGGTGGCTACTGGAAAAAGCCAAAGGCCAGTCCACCTGGCAAAGGTACAATGGCGGAGACCCAAAGTGGCCCCTTTACCGAAACTGCAAGTCGAAAAACCAACAAAATACAGTACATTATTGACCTGTATAATTTTTGTGGCTAAGGTAACTTGCACTAAGTAGAACAGCATTTCTAATGTATCTAGAAACAAGTATGGCATTTCTATTTTCATAGCGTCAGAATGTACGATTCTCTTAAACAATGGATTTCATTCCATTAAATTTACCCAATATTTATTATAAATTAAGTTAGTTTTCAAACATCAAGCCTTGACAAAAGGGAGCTTCTTTTCAGCAGCCAAAATTCTCATTGTCTCAAAAACAGTTGACTACCCTTCAATCGATCGTTCTCTTCCTCCTAGCCTTGAAAACAAAAATAAGGCGCATTCCCCTCATGGTTAGTCACGCACAATTCCACTACCTCATGAGGAGCTTTTAACCATTGGGCAAAGCGCTCCTATGAGGGCGCACAAATAGACCCTCTAATTGGAGGGAGGGGTGATGTAAAAAGAGAGGACAAAAACAGTGATGAAGACTGGGGAGGGTTAGAACTCAAGGCGGGTAAGATACAGAGTCGGTTTAATTTGTCCTCCATTCCCTCGTTGGACGGAATGACAGTGAATTAAGCTTGAAGGTCACGTATTCTTGCTAGTGAGAGTCAGGGTTGTAAGGTCGATTTAGGGAACCTGAACAGGAATTTTCCTTGTCAAATTTACTGTGGTTCCTAATTTTCGATAAAATTTGGTTTTATCTTGACCAAACTATTTACAAAAATCCACTAAAATATCGTCTTCTTAAAGCATTTTTAAAAAACTTAGTCCAATTGTGATGAGATAATGACTGTAAAAGTATTTTGCCGTGTATTTATTCTGAACATAGGCTCACACTCTCTGATTGATTAGTTTCGTTTTAGTGTGGAATCGGATGGACCCACTGCGTAAAATAATCTAATTCGAAAAAAAAACCCACAGAATTGACAACTTTGGAGTAAAATTTCTTGTAATAGACTTTGTTTGCTGAGGCAAACTGACTACGACATGCAACTGCTGGAGTGAATCATTTACAACTTTGGTGCAGGCAATGCCTCGCAACCATTTGGGCGAGACGACAGCAAAATAACACTGTTGACACTTTTAGTGTTGTCTCGTCTAAGAGTATTGTTAGACTTCAGTTTGTTTAGTTGTTATGTTCCATTAGCATTCAGAGCCAAGGAGGAAAGTAGATTCAAATCAAAATAGTCACCGCTCACCAGTAGATGATTTGCACTGGGATTAATTTAAAGGAAAAATTAAATGATTACTCTACAGAATACTTCGAAATTTTGAAAAGACACGACCATTCAAAACCAAAAAAAAGATGCGCTGCCATTATGCGTTTATCGTTTGTTTAACTCTCGGTCATTATAACGAGCCACCTCGGGGTCCCGCCATTGTAACTTCATCAGGAGCCATGGCCTCCGGAGCCTGCGAGCAGGCCCCAAGCCCCACTATACTTCGACGCCCGTACAAGTTTATTCTCAGACAATAAACTAAAGCTGATCAGTTCTCACATGTGTAAAATACCTTGTCTAGTTCATTTAAATGGCTTCACCATGCCTGGATAATACAAATGACCGGTAGTTTGCAAATGCAAGTGAAACGTGTGAGATCAATTGGACCATTTTGTACATAGTAATCCGTCTGAAAAAAGAAACAAAGAATAGTATGAAATGAAAAACAGTTCTGAAAGTCGACCCCAGTATAGTGGAAATGAAATGATCAAAAGTGAATACTGATTCGTTCAGGGGTTTCAGAAGACTCCATGTTTTACCCATGATTTTGCAATTGGGGCTGTCTTCGTCGATACATCAGGTCTTACCCTCAGATATTATCCTCTGTCGGAAAGCCGCTATTTTTTATTACCCGCAGTCGATATTTCTGGTTTCACGTACCAAACTTTCTAATTATTTATTGTGTGCTAGGCTATTAGCATTGTGGCGCTTTAGAGCTTCCCTTAATTTGAAAAAAGGTATAATACTTGGGCGGAATATGTACTGCCGACGTAGAGAAGGGCTGGAGGCTACTGACGTGGCCTGGAGGCCATCCTGACCAATGGAAGTATAAAAGCCCAGCCTTAAGCGCCCGCGAAAACGATTAATCAAAGTATTAGAGTGCTAATTAAGTGTAAAAAGAAGTTTTGGACTGAAATAATAGAAATTTGGTGGTGCATTATTTAAGTCTTCTGAAAAGAGCTTTGGTGATATGTGCTATGAAAAAATGGAGAAATAAACTAAAAATCCTTAAATCTTTTAAGAGCGTGGCTTCCGTGATAAACAAGATACATCTGGTAAAGTCACCGAAGTGTTGTACAATCACCTGGTTCATTTATGTGCTCTGTTTATGCATTTCAAGTGTTTATCATAGGAAGTGGCGTTTGCACTGTTGCCATGTTCAAAGTAAAATGAATCACATGAGTCACTTCGGTTAAATAGATTTTAGGGACAGGTATTGCTGTCTATCGTCTCTACTGAGACGGACTGGTCAAAAATGGGACATTCTATAAGCAAAGGGGATACTTAAAGCTTTGTTTGGAAATGTAAGCCCACTTGTGGCCTATGGGAGGAAAGCGATGATTGCCTTCAAAACACAATCTAATTTATGTGATCATAAACAAAGGCTAGTTATTAAATTGGCGTGATTGTATAGGAATGATTCCACGGTGCGCAGATGCCTCAGGTGAATTGCTTCCATTAACACCTTCGCGTCAGTAACGCGGTTTGGCTTAAACCATAAGTGTGAAAACTGTCTCAGTGTTAATCCATGCCCGTGAAACACCAAAATGGGAGATATGTAGCCTCTGCACATGAAGGAATGTTGACTTAAAATGTGTTAATCCCAGAGCTAGCACATATTTGTAAGAGTATGCTGTACAAGACTACGCTTCTCCATCTCAAAACCGCCTGTACCATATTTCGGGGAACAACTTCCGTTGTCAGCACTGTGTTTGTATTATAGCCCAGGAATGACACTCAGTTAGATCGACCCTCCTTCTAAACATACAAAAACGTATTATTAACCAGATTTTAACTAATTCATATTAATTGAATTTTACGTGTCTGCATGTGGCCACGTGCGTACACCATCCAAGAAGATAAAATGGAGTGTTTTAATAGGAAATACACAAAGCCACTTCATTACCTTGACCAAATGAGCTCTAGATGGTGGGTAATTCTAAAAGATTTCAACTTTAGTAGAAGTGGCTTTAAACCATTTTACAAAGGCTTGCCTTCCAACAAAACCAAAATCGCCAGAAATCATTTCCTGCACAATGTTGTCCATTCTACTGTCTCATAGGGATCTTTACAAGATACATCCTGCTCTTCATATTTTTCGTTAAAATTAGTGAAAGAAAACTTATTTTGCATCTCGCATATCAGATAACACTTAGAAATAAACTCATGAATGTAAGTCAAATTAATTAGTTCAAACAGACTAGCCGAGACAAGAATCGCTACATCTTTACGGAGAATTCTAGTTTCCTTATTAGATGGCGTTTTTGCTGTTAAATTTAATGCTGCCGATTGCCTTTTGTGGTCGTAAAAACAAGTGTTTAATGAGCAAAGGACTGTGAATAATTTTAAGGCATCATTTGCCCATTTTATTTATTAAACAGTTTTAGTAAGTGCAAAAAAGATATGTATTAGAATTTAAACTGCAAAATATACCAATGCCAACTCCTACGTAACGGATAATTGACGATTTGTTTAAATGGAGCACCAGTGGCATTCTTATTGATCTGCAATTTTTTCCATATTTCAAGAAGACGCGGGCTTTCTTGCCTGATGGTGGTCTTGGTATTGGATGTTGTCGCTGGTTATTTTTTATGGCTAAAAAGTGGTTTTACTGGGGGATATTTTTGCTTTGTAGAATCGTGTTCCTGCAATCGTGCTCCAAAATACCCCCAATTAGCTAATAACACTTAACTGGCATTTGCCCTCCCACAGAATTTTCTTCCCAGATGTTTTACTTAACCCATTAAGGTAGAGCCTATTTTAATAATATGCTAGATCTAATGGTCAAAGTGAATTGGTTGCAGCGCTTGACCAATTACGGCCTTTTGCACGTCTATTGGCTGGTCCAAACTTTTGTTCACCCCCATTCGACGGACTTATCAGTCCTTCGAAAGTCCAGCAGCCGATATCGGTAGGCGTTTCTTTGCTCTGAGTGTTAGTGCAATCATATATTTCTGACTGAGCAAAAGCAGTTTAGTAGTCACTAGTAAAAGGTGGTGCTTACTAACCTTAGCTAAGCATAGCTGATTCAGCCAACTTTATTTCTTAAGCTCTTACAATGGCTTAATGCTTAGTAAAACTTGATCCCGGATTTGTGGGAAGAAATCGGCACTTGCTGAAAGAATGCGATTATTATGCTCTTTGAAAATAGCTTTTTTAATCGAAGTATCTAATTTTATCGTCATTAAGCGAGAAACTCGCTGCCATTCCATTGATGGGCGGTGAGCATGTAGCTATTTCGGCAAGACCGAAGTGGTACTAAACAGTTTTGTCCTTCTTTTCTCCCCCTTTTTGTCTTTAACTAATAACGCAAAATAGTTAGGATTAACTTAATGAAAACAACCTTCACCTAAGTACATGTTTTCCAAAGGAGGACTTATTACTGTATTCATTCTGCAGCGTCATTGGGATCCGTTCGTTTTGAATTCCAAATAGTATTTTTCCTAATTCCATTAGTTTGTTTAAGCAAATCCGTGTGGTTTATACATGGTCCACTAGGTGTTCATTGATCCCTTTCTTAGTACTGATTACGTAGGCCTGCCTGATTAATGGTAAGAAGTGTGGTTGCAAATATGATCACTTCTTTAACTGTTGATTCTGCTAAACAGAAGGCTTTCATATCGATCTCTGGTGCTTGATTCTTCACAAACAGCACTCCCCTCAGTCACTCCTCCATAATCTAGTAGGTGACTTACTTCGCTCTAAGAATTTGACATTGATAACAGAGTATTTCAAGTAAGCATATGATTTATGCTCAGTTATTTATTTCACCATGTTTGCGTCAAAATTATCCGTCTTAAAGTGGAATTCATCAATGGATTGCGAACTGATGACGAGATTTATAAGTATGTCGTCAGAAATTGCTATAACATGTTTCAATGAACTATTTTGCTTAAATGTTAGCACATGCTATCAGTATTTCCAAAGTTGTCTACCTTTGTCTCAGTTGAACAATGGGATTTACAGGCTTGTGGTTGCTACTACTTATGACCTTGACACCAATATGGGGTCGCCCAAGTGCTGATCTTGTCAGCCATCTACCCGGTTTCGATAGCCCACTCACCTTTGAAATGTACTCGGGCTATCTACAGGGTGCAACCCCCAATGTCCAATTACACTATGTTTTTGTCGAGGCGGCGAGTGGCTCTGCCACCGCACCCCTCGTTCTCTGGCTCAATGGGGGTCCTGGTTGCTCCTCTCTCATGGGCATGTTCACCGAAAACGGACCTTTGTTTGTGAGTCGTACATATTTTTTTTCCAAAGAATACGTCTAAGGCGACGAATACTAGCATTATTTTCGATCCATTAATTACGGTGCAACCTGGGCCACCCGTCGTTAGCTAAAATTTGCTGTATTTTTCCTTGCATTCCTAACTGTTGATTCATTAGTCATGCCTGTTTTCCCGTCCACTCGATCGAAAAGTAATATGGTGCTTAAGGGAATCCTGATAATGAAATTCTCACCGATTTCTTAGTCTGACTTCTTGTGAGATTATATTTTCACACCTGCCTTTTACCTTGCTTGCTTGATTGAGGGTGTGAGAGACCGGAATGAGGTTCAGATAATTAAGGCTATTTGTAAACTCTTCAGGTTTTAGTTTATTTAAAGAGAATTATTTTGTTGCTTGTTTGTTTTCAAGAGAATTTTTTCCGATACTTATGGTATTTTGATAAGTTAAGCTATATATTGTCTTATGAGGTCGTATTATTTTTTGTTACCGTGCTCTAATTGACCATTTTACTAGCAGTTCCGGCCAGATATAACTGAGAAAATATGCTAAAACGTTGGCCCGTACTCGCTTGTGGGTGAGCTACGAAATACTAAACCTATCCCGAAGTTTGGCTGCTTTATAGCACATTCAGAGTAACACCTGAGCATCCAAGTCACTTTTCAACTTCGCTTTTCAATATGCTTATTCGTTAAAATATTGAATTATGCTTGACTTGTGTTCATGAAAAAATCCTTTTCTATTCCTATGCGTTACCTATCTTCCCATGAAATGATTAAAGTCCGTCTGTTAGGTGCCCATTTCTCAACTGCATCATAATTGTGAACCCTCGCTTCATATACATCGAACAACTTATTTAGTAATCCCTTTTAAGTACGACTTTTCCATTCGCAATTTTCGTTAACAGATTATCAAACCAAAGGAAGTATTTCTTTTAGATTCGTCGAGGAAACCAACTTGTATCAAATAAGTATTCATGGAACAAGGTTGGTGGCTCCGCTTGTTATGTTTTACGATATTGGGCTTTGAAGACACGTCTTGCAAACACCAGTATGACAAACCTGGAAATAAGCAGAAGTAACGGTTGCCTGAAATTGAAGCCAACGAAAGCTTAGAAGTGTTGAATTACTTTTTATCAGTTGACTGAATAAACATGAACATAGAGACTCATCATGACTGTGCGTCATTAAAGTTGGAACACCAAATGTAAACTGATGGATTTCAGCAGCTGATGCTCTTGATGGATGATATGTGTTTATGGACGCTATTAAGAATGTTTATATTTAATCTATTGCTCACCTGCTCATGTTAATATTTATCCGCACCGGACCTCCTATCAACTGTTAAACTATCTATCCATGTATACGAAAGATAAGTGGACGCATCAAATCAAATTTTGATGTACCTACTTTGTGTCCTAATTTTGGCTGAAATTTTTTCAAAATAACTTATTTTGTAGTCATATGCATTCATCACTGGAGCGAATTTACTACAAATACTGGACAAATGTCCGATTTGCCGAACTATCCACTGTAACAGTACCATACTAGCGAAGAGTGCTGCCGCATTTTTATTTTATATTCGCTTTCAGTATGCCAACATTGTCTATATTGAGGCTCCAGCTGGGGTAGGATTTTCATTTTCTCGTGATGGCAACGTCACAACTGATGACGATTTGGTAAGTGGGTTGAGTAAAATGTACACTGTTTCGAATGTTATGCAGAGTACATGAAATGCAGTGATCTGTTATGGAGCCACTCGGATTCCTCTTCCACGCAAAACTAGTTTTATGCATAGATGCATAAATAATGCTCCAATTTAACAGTCTCTGATTTTCTTATCTATATAAATTATGGAAAGAATTCAGCATCAATGGCGTATTTCTGAAACTAACTTTTTCGAAAGTATTTGCCGAGATTATATTGCCATTTCTATGCTTTATTATCAAACTTTTCACATTTTTGAACAAAATCTAGTAATAAACACATTCAGTGTAACATGATTACAGCACATGCTTTCAGTGGAAACTCTGTGAAGTGAAGATGTGATCCTCTTTGAAGTTTCCTTTGACCGTACTTACTTTGTCACAAAGATATGGGTGTATAAAGCGCCTCAATTTGGTTCTTAGCTTAGGCGTTAATGTATTTTCTCAACACACTGTCTCTAAATTGTATGCACTTTTTGCGATATTATTGTTTATTTTAGGGATTGAATAGTCGTGTTTCGGCTTGTGCCCTTAAAATTTTTTGCGTATAAGGTCTAGTACGGCTCGTCAACAAATCAGCCGCCTCGATAATGCACTTCGGAGATTCGATTTATCATACACGATTGCAGAAAAATAATGATTGCATGTTCCATCTTATGAAATACTGTATTTCCAAGGTCGCCGACAATAACTACTTCGCCCTGACCAACTTTTTTGGGAAATTTCCCGAATTCAAGGGTCGTGACTTCTACATAATTGGGGAGAGTTATGGCGGAGTCTACGTGCCCACCTTGGCCCTTCGTGTTGTAAATCACCCCGAAGTGAAACTCAAGGTCTGTTTTTTTTTCGATTACACTGATAAATATATGCGTTCTAGGTGTACCTACTGACTGTTTATCTAAAAGGTAATTGGCTTGACGTTCAACTTTTTACTGCCGTTATGAGGTAGGCTGGAGTCCTATTTTACGGTTCCTGGATTTCCGCTCGTTGCAGAAACATTATAACTCATAGTTACTCTTTTTCATAGTAAATAGTTCTGGAAACGTTCTATTGCTGCAGCATTAAACTGGTATGCAGTTAGGTGTAAGTCAGACGATGACCTTTGTAAAAGGTGAATCCTTTTTTGGCGTTAGATTGTTGAAGGATTTCGTTGTCAGGAGAAAGTTTAACAATCGGAATTTTTAAGGTTGGGTTTATGTTCCGCAGATGTGATAACTGTGAGTGAACTAATTATCATTTGCATGGCTATACTCATGACTCCTTCCATATCTCTGTTATGCGTACTTTTATGGTGGAGCTTCTGAGGACAGGTTTTACGGATATTTTAAACGCATATTTGTGGCTCCTCGGCTGAAAGCATAGTATGGGCTATTTATCTCTCCTGTTGCGTCAAAGTTTATTCCTCTTAAGTGTTTCTTCTTCGTCGTTTGGGCTTGCAAAAGCAATGAAAGATAAAATGGATCTTGATGATAGTGAAATGCGGGTGATTTACTAATAACGCGAATTATAAAATGAAGAAACAATTGAACTGTCCCGAAGGTCATTTAAAAGACTCCCTAGAAATTAAGCCGGATGATAATCTTTGAGTTCCGAAATCTCGTTCGCTGATCCCAAAACACGGGATAAACGTGCTTCTGTTTATGCCTACTAGATCGAAAGCCCCGTGAAGTGAATTTGTTGTGTGAAAACGCAATTAGGTGAACATCAAAAGTAGTGGGATTTGGACATGCCGCCAATGAGTTAATCAAGCAGGTTTAAAATTTGTGGTGAAGTTCCTCGTATGTTTGCATATAGGGCGTCGCTTTATTTGCCTTCGGCATTAATATGCTACCTTCTTCAGATGATGTTATCTGAATGAACTGAAGGTTGCATTTGAATGCAATGCCGGTGGGGAATTTTTAATTAGTTGGATCTGATAGTGTGTACGATTTTACGGAAGAGTGCATTTGATACATTGGACGGCATTATTTAAGACAGAAACTGTGCCTTGGTGCAGTTTTAAGTTTGATGGCAGAGCGTAAAAGCCTACTCTGACCTACTTCCACATATTGTTTCTACCTAATTTACATTCACATTATTTGGTCCCAGAATTATGTTTCAGGCTTAGCGGAAAGTATTAAAGCCCCATCAAGTAGCTCAAAAGTCAGAAGTGCCATCCGTGATGGCGATGGAAAACACAGAGGCTTCTAAATCCCATTGTAAGGTGTTATTAATCGTTGTCTTGATCTCTTTCAGGGAATCGCAGTGGACAATGGGCTCACGAGTTACACCCTGAATGATAACTCACTTCTCTACTTCGCCTACTATCATTCGCTTATCGACGCGAGGTACGAAAATGCTCAGAGAATCTAAATTTTTCATATTCCAAGTGTGAATCTTGGGTTACATCAGTCTGATCGAGCCTTAACGAACTTCCATATTTTGTGGAAAGTTCACCCCTTAAAATGAACCAGCCCATTGATGCAGCTCTTATTGTTTTAATTTCCAGTCTTTGGGCAGATCTTGTGAACTACTGCTGCGATGGTAAACTGGTTGGTCGCTGCCTGTTTACATTGAATCGCTCCCCTAAATGCCAGGACGCCGTAAGTATGGCCGACAAAACTCTATACTTGTCATCAAATAAGCGACGAAATTATCACTTATTAAATAAATAACAGGTGAGAAGTGCAGCCAGTATCCTGTCGTATGGATTAAACATGTATAATCTCTACGCTCCCTGCGATGGCGGTGTTCCTGAAAATGGCTCATCGAAAGTTGCGAAGACAAATCCAACTTATAGACATCTATTCTCTTGGCGAGGCATTATTGAAAGACTCAGCCGCAGATATGACCAATGGCTACGAAGGTCGTCTGATCTGGAGCAACTTTTTTGTACAATTAGTGGTTGAACGAATAGCTCATTTTCTTTTTGGTCCGTATAGAATGCGTGTTTTCTCCTTTGGTCCTGTAAAACGACGCCGGTCGAGTGTAATTTCTCGGGAGCAGGTCGATTGGGGCAATTTGTTCAGATTTCTACCAAAACGCAGCGAGGGCTCTCTTAATGGGTACGTCATGCATTCACAAGATTCAACTGTTTCAGATCTATACAAATTGGTTGGTTTAGCTCCATATTTTAGATGATTCTAGTTTTACTGTGCTATGCAGGATTTCTCGCTTGATAAGATATTTGGTTGAAATTTCTCGTAGCTTCAGTAGAATGGGAGGTAAGGAGCCACTCGACTCCCATTATTGAGGTCCAGTCTTAATACCCTGAACTGTGACCGATCCAACCCTCCAAGTGCTAAAGTACTTTACTAAACCGTGATCAGTTTTCTTAGTTTGAATATGATTTTCATATTTTTAGTAGATATTCGGCCATAAATTGAAGATTTTGACTTCAACTCTTATTGGTAACTTCTGCACTTATTTGTTGGCTATTTCATCTCTTCAGTAATTAATAAATTAACATGCAGCGTTCCGACTTCGTATCCATAGTAATGCCATTTGTTTCGGTTCATTGGTTGAATCTGCTCTGTTAAAAGCAGTATGTAATCCCACTCGTACCAAAACTCGTGGGCTCCTTGCTGAGCCTATATTATTTTGGCTTAAACAACTTTAAGATGACGAATTTCCCTGGGTAATCTTGTCAAGAATTAGCACTTGATATGGATTTAACTTAACATTTCCACATCATTAACTAACTTCGAAATCTGCTTCAGTCCCTACTCAGAAGCAGTTTAAAATTTTTGTAAAGATGGTTTTGAAAGTTTGGGGTTTTCAACTAATTTGTATCACAATTTCTCGCTTGGCTACACCATCACCGACTCGAAGTAAAGGCGTAGGCTCGGTGTCTAAGACTTCCGTGTCTCAGAATACGATTTGACCTCAGATTTCGCTTCTCGTCTTCAGCAGGATGGTGCTTAAGTGCTCCGACGATTCCATTCAGATAGAGTATCTCAACATGCCAGCGGTCCGGTCAGCTCTTAACATTCCTAAAAGCGTACAGGATTGGTCCGTCTGTGACGATGAGGTGTACACACAGTACAAGCGTATCTACTTCGATCTGAGTAAACAGTACCGGACACTGTTGGAAAAGGGGGTATGTATTGCCAACTTCGTATAACGTCTCTCGTTTTTCTGTTCTATATCAACCAATTACGGCTCCCAAGGGTGGTGTTACTTTATTTGGCTCAAAATCGGCCTGCTACACAACCGAACCATGTTGTAGCCTAATAACGGCTTATAAAGGCAGATTTGGCGAATGGGAATCACATCTGATTTCGCTGTAACACAAGAAAAATAATGCGTTGCGGTGGTACATATTTTAATGTAATATGCAGTTTTTTGATATGGTGTTCTCTAAAAGTAACCTTTTGCTTTAGTATGTGGCTGACGTTGATCCTGGCCATGAATTTTGAACAAATTCGTTTAAAATTGACCTTAAGGCTCCCAACAGAAGAGGATAAAATCTCTTCCCTTTGTAATTATCCATACCATCTTAATTTTACCCCCATATTTCTGCTTAATATTGCTATTTCTATTATTCGACCTCCAATATGTAAAGGGGGATTTTGAATCAAACTCTACTTTTAATTTCAATGCCAACTGGACATCTATCCTGTGGTGTTATTAGGTTCATTTATAAAGTTGTCAAATATTCCTGTAACTCCTAAGAGATGACTTATTTAAATATTTTCACCTTTCAGATTCGAACTCATATTTTCAATGGCGACGTTGACATGGCGTGCAACGCTATTGGCGACGAGTGGTTCGTCAACGACATGGGATTACCTGTGAGTCGTGCACTAACTTTCACATTCTTGTTTTATTCGAAATGCTACATAAAAGGTATGCAAATATTCTTCATGCGGGCAAGTTAGTGATTTTTCATGGTTTTGTACAACCTTATATTTGACATTGCACTTCCAACATCGTTTGTTGCCCAAAACAGTATAAAAGCGTAGTGCATTACCTGGCTATATTTGTCCTTCAGGTACTTCTCTGCTAACCGGTATGGTAAACAAATCAAATTTGTATTCAAAATTGAAACTTCAATGGTTGTAAAGGCACGTTTTTTTACTTTAAGCTGAAAGTCCCTCGACATCCTTGGTTCTTTAACGCTACCGACGGCACCAGACAGATCGGCGGCTACAGGAAGAGCTTCTTGGTAGAGGTTTCCAGTACGACTCTCACCTTCTCGACAGTACGTGGCGCGGGCCATATGGTGCCCACAGACAAACCACTGCCCGCTTTCACCCTCTTTAGCGATTTCCTCTGGGATCTCAACTAAAAGCACCACCAATGTGCCTCGTTTCACATTTCTCTTCACGTTAGTACTCATTCATATATGTAACGAGTTTGCTTTAAGCGTTGGTCATACCGCTTGTGCGTGTTTGTTCCTTGAATGAGGGAAAAACTATGCCATGAAATTAGCAAAGCTACCGTTATAGAGGATCGAATGGATCTTAATTTACGTGTGGGGCGGATAAAGGGCTCGGAAAATTGTGGGATTGTCGTGCGGGGCCGCTTTGGCTCGTTAGGACTTTGGGTGAGATAAAGAGCGGTACAGAATCCCTATTCCTTAATTTGGGGTAGGATTTGTACTGGAGAGTGGAGGGATCGGGCTTGGTTGGGGTGGGTCTTCTTCTGCTCTCACAAAGTGTTGGTCTGAATTGCTGTAAACTGTAGACGCTAGTGGGTTAAACTGGTTTTCCATCCATAAATTGGAAAGAATTTAGTAAGTAGTACCGATTAAGTGAGTAAGATAGATGGGAGAAGATTCCTTCATTAAAACTCAAGAGCAATGTCTCAATTCTCTTTGACTACTGTCAGTTAAAAAAAGATTGTTTTCACACAAAAATAGACAAAGCATAATTTTTATACTTTCTTCTGCTATCACCAACTTGTTTTGGCAATACTTACATTAAAAATGCCAAACTAAAACCTCATACTACGTACTTATCTACCTTGTAGTGATTTAAAGTTTTGTTTAATTATGCTACGTGTGACACGCTGCCCAAGGCTCCTGTCGGCTGCGTGTTTTAGTTCTGCTCTAAAGCAAGGCTTAAAGCCCTGCCGTTTACATGTCGGGTATTCTGCAGTTTTATAAGGTGCTCCCTTCCAGGCTGCTTCACCTTTTTACGATTTCGCGGAGGACAGAACCAACACCTTAACTGTCATAAAAAAGTGGCAGATTGGCGTAAATGTGTGCGTTAGTGGAGATGAGAATTCTCTGAAGCAAAAACGGGTGTGGAGGGCGAATTGGCTCGTTTGTCCAGTTCGAGCCGGTCACATTTGTTTAGATCTTAGAGTGGGTGGGATCCCCCATACTTGCAAATTGTACTAAACCTATATTCTTGGGCCAGAAATAATCTCGTTTATAGCACGCATTTATTCATTTCTTTGTTTTCGAAAAACCTTTTTAGAAAAGTGTGATTTAAATTAGCAAATCTTTAAAAGCATATCCATTTGAAAATTAGAAAACCTTTCTTTGTTGGTAATATTTAAATTGTGATTTAAGGAATGCCATAACAAAATAATGAAGCTGATGAGCCTTATCTGACACTGATTGGCCTAGGTATTTGCCAATGGACTCTCGGCCTTAACTTCTTTCGCCAGGGCTGGGTTTGCGAGGGTTGGAGCTGGTTAGTATTCGTGATGACGAGTCTTCGGCCGGTCGTACTCAGTGGCCCCTCTGGGGCCGGCAAAAGTACTCTTCTTAAGATGCTCATGGAAAACTTCCCACAAAGCTTCGCCTTTAGTGTCTCACATACCTCTCGCAAACCCAGACCGGGTGAAGTTCATGGCAGAGAATATAACTTTGTTTCGGAAGAAGAAATGTTGAATGACATTGCCGACGGCAAGTTCTTAGAGTACTCTCAGTTTGCAGGCAACTACTACGGAACCCCTCGTGAGGCGGTAACTTCTGTAAGTCATGTGTGTCACTGCAATTTGTTGTACATGGGTCCTACAGAAGTGTCTTCTAGTCTTTCATTTTTCGCGTGTGCTTCCTTAATGCTTTGCCTATTTTATATTTCCTTTTAACTGAGAGTCTGGACGTGCCTTATCCTTCTTTTTCGCCAGCCATGCACGCGTTCCTCGTTTGACCACACTCTTCCCCGCTATTTTGTCAAACCCACTCAGCAGTGGTTACGATTTCCCATTTCTGGAGTGCGACCCAGTTTTTGTTCTCTGTTCTCTTCGTGGAACACTCAGTATCATGTACGCATCTGGCATCTTTTTTCGTTCTATATTCTGGTCCAGCTCTTGTTTCGTACTTTGCCTAATGCGTTTAATTGTGCGGCACAGCCTTGTTGCTTGAACCAATTCCAAGTGCTTGCGTAATTCCTTTGGATTATTATCTTCAGGTTCTCGAAAGCGGTCGGATTTGCATTTTGGATGTGGATGCCAACGGCGTTCGCAGCATTTACGAGGCTCGGCCACCGTTGAACGCCCGCTTCATTTTCGTTGGTCCACCGTCGATAGAGGTGCTGGAATGTCGGCTGCGTAATCGAGGCACAGAGACAGAGGAGAAGATCCTTTCCCGTCTTCAACAAGCCAAGGTTGACATGGAATTTGCTAACAGCCCACATGGAAAACGCATCTACGACGCACACATCGTGAATGATAATGTAGAAGAAGCCTATGATAAGCTATTTGATTTTCTCAAGGATGATATTGCACTCACGTTAGATGACGAGCGCCAGCAAGTTGCAGCTTCGTAGTGTAAGCTCGGCTTGATTTCTCGGCTTCCTATGTTCCGCTTAAGCCGACCTAATCCTTGTTTTTCTTCTTTGCAGGATTTTACTAGTATGCACTTATCCTTATTTTTCCCTCCTGCACCAACTTTCTTGTGTTTCTGAGTGTCCAATGCGCTAACGTAGGCACCCACACCAGTCTTTGGCCATCAGTCCTTTTGCTAATGGCCATTTTGTACATTATTGTTGTTCAATAGGTACTTATTTCTTGGACATAATCCGTTTTGATATATTTATTTTCTGAATGGAGGTGGGCAGGATCCACGTCAAAAGAGGAGACGCTTCAGATTTCTCTCGAAATCAATCCAGTAAACTTCAGTTAAAGACTGGGTTAATACTTTGCTTCCGACACGGTCTCGATATTAGGCAGTATGGAGTAGGCTTTTCTCAAATAATCCGTTGGAGGAGGTAGGGCTTTGTGGGATTTTACAGGTGGCTGCTTATAAGAAAACAAAAGTCCAGGAACTTCAAAGTCATAGAAATGAAGAAAGCCTCGTAAATTTTCACTCTTCAGACGCACATATCTCTCAAAAACACCAGTTGACTTATTGGTCCGGATCACTTTTCATTCTGTAGCGTACAGTTCATTCTCGTCGGCGCTTCCAGGGTATGTAATAGGTGCTTAACGTAGTCTTAATGCAGTCGATATTTTAAGCAATCCTAATCTCTTGGCAGCAGCGCATGAGCACTGCCACTATCAATGTCTGGGGTCAAATATTATCACTGCAAGTGACACAACACTCACTGTTCTTGAAAGCGATGATCACGCCAAGACCAGTGACCCGCAGCTAGTCTGTTCAAGACTAGGGCAATGAATTCGAAGACGGTTTTCCCCAATTGCAACAAAACTTGGTTTTTAGTAAATTCACCACTAGAATTAAAACTCGCCAGGACTATGCTGCAACAAGTCTAGAAGTTATGACTCCTTTAAGATGAGTTTTCCAATGCAGCGACTGTAGTAGCTTTTGTAAGATGAGGAAGATTTCTGGGCTATCTGTCTAAGCGGAGTTATTGTTATTGTTCCAAGGTCGTCTGAAGGCCCAGCTAACACCCTATTGGTCAAAATGCGAATGTCGCCTACAGGAAAATGCTCCTCAGATCTACACCTACCATAGCCATGCCAAGCCGGTATGGAAAGATGGGAATGGCGAAGAGTTTGGCATTACTTTCTGAATGTATAAGTGAATTGTGGGACATTTTACCAGATTCTAGGATAATCTAGCACGATTAACATTAGAAATACCTTTTAGTCATTAATGGAACTCGGGAAGTGCTTTCTATCTAGCATTTGCGATCATTATTTACCATTGTTTTCTAAAGATAAAATACCTTCATTCCTTACATATTCTATTCTTCAATCAGAATTACAGCATTGAAGGGCGACAACGTTGTTCATGAATGTTGTTTTAGTAGCCAAAGAAAAGATATTATATGCTTACGGAGCAATTCCTAGTTATTTTTACATTTGAATATGCTTTAGCGCCTTAAGGCCTCCCTGACGACGGAGGAGAACAATGCCCTTGCCAAGTTACACTCATTTCGGAGCTGCCCAGCCATATCTAGTTAGTTTCCATCCAGCTAGTAGGGAAGTGGGGAAGTATCGTGTTTCCACATCATCGATATCTGAATACAGGTACGGTGGAGAGCCCCACAAAGAAACATTTCCAGGTGGTTCACGACTAGGGTCGCATCCATTGGTAATACCCTTCCTGCAGAACACGGGACTTGGGTGGCTGCCTAATGTTGACATCACATTCAGCCCTTCTGTTATGCATCACCACTGATTCGTCCATCAGCAGCATGTGAATTTCTGCCGAGCTAAGGTTTATCACCCAGCAGTGGAGACCAGGATGAAAATGTCCTTTCAAATCGGGTTCATTTTCCGCTGCTATTATTGGAGCCTCATCGTGACTTCCCTAAATATGAAAGAAAATACGATACTCGAGCAGAATACATATATTTCACCTTTGGTAGCATCTGGGACTGCTAGCATGGCCCAGAAGCCAACCCACCATGTGAAAATGCAATCCATGGAGATGCAAAATGGACCCCATACCAAAATCAAGAGTTAACCGAGCAACCAACACATTAAAGTACATTAAAACGCTGCCATTTTTCCCTTAACCAAATGGCTATGTGCATAAGTAGTTCTCAGGGCCTGTCTGTTGGCCAAAGCAGGCTAACTGCGAATATGTATTCTTTCAAGACCATGCTAATAAAAGTGTGTAAAGATCAAAGGTCATAACTAAGGTCAGTAAGGTATGGCGGATGTAAGAGAACTAGATAGTATGGCTTGGTTCAAACTTGAAGATAATTTCGAGACAGTCACGTTTACTAAGTGGCTAATATAGACGAAATATCGAGTCAAGCATTGTTTTCGCGACTTAAAACCATCTTTGGGAGGCCCTGGCATTAGGCAACTTCGGCTCTAAGATAGCCATCATCAATACGTCTGGTTGATTCATGTTAATTTATGGCGTTGTAACGCCGCCTACGCTGGTGTTGTACCTATGTTACTTGTTTGGGGACTCAAGTACCAAGTCATCGACTGCTATTTTATCATGATGAACTGACACGATATTATCAACTACGTGATTCGATTTATTGTCATTAGAACAACTTTCATCAACTGTCGGATACTTTGACTCTCGGAAGATGGTCCAATAATTACTATACATGGCATTGCACAAAAGGATGGGAGGTAAAAAGTAACATGGAAAATGGTAACTTGATTGACATTTGGATAAGTTGAGTTGTTTAAATAAGTGTTTTTAACTGCCTGGGAATATCCTATTGGAGTGAAGAGGTTACTAGTAAATCTACCCCACATCAGCTTATTTCAGCTTGTCTTCAAAACATGTAGCTATTCTTACGATGAAATCCTAGATTTGTGTCTTAATTAGTGCTCCGCTGTGAAGTAATCTTATAGCTAGAGAGAAAATGCGCTAAATTCTGGCAAAAACATATTTCACTCTGAGTGCTGAATCATCACCACAGTTGGCAGCTTCGATCTCGTCATGGCTGAACCTACATATAAGTGTAAATCCACGCTTACGGTAATCGTCTAGCCCGGGCAGGTCAGTTGATGATATTTCACCTTCAAGTCACCTCAATAAAAAAGTATTCTAAATCGATGTTACTTTGCTAGAGTTTGGCATTGACACTGGGATTAACCTGCAAATAGAATGTTTAGCGGAGATCTCATTTATGAGGGCTTCGGTGTAATATGATCTGCTGTCACTGAAACGATAAGGTAAAGAGTATTATTTCGACAAACCAACCTGGGCTGAACTTTTGGTAGGTATTTAGAGAACGATGGACCCAACTTTAACCTCTCTCTCTGAAGGCGTCTATGAAGAACTCCAACATATTTTTTTACTCCAAATCTACGGTGGAGTGGAATGTCTTGTCGACGGAAAGTTGAAAGGTCAGGAAAACTAGAATCAGGATATTTAAATATACAATTATCACTTTTCCTTGTTATACTAAAACCCGTATACGAGTTGTATCTTCAACAGTAGAGTGTGAGTTTAAACGCTTGTCATCGCAGATGACTCAGTTGGTCAAAATACTCAAGCGACCACGCGCTGTTTTATTGTTGACCATCCACGTGCTTCCAGTGTGACACCAACATACAGTAGGCTGGATATTTTCCGGCCAGGTTCTAGTGAGTTTTCACTACGTTTCCCAGATTTAACTGATAACCCAAAAAGTACTAAAAACGGATGTAATTGCACGTAGTTCGCACTACTGCCATGCCTTTAGTAGAATTTCACAAGATGCAAGCTTATGCAAAATTTTGTGAAGCAGAAGAAACCTCTGGCTCGTTTACCTCAGCAAACAAAGAAGCGTCGTTGCCGTTTCAAGGCCAAACGAGTCGTTATCCTCATCTGCGTGGCTCAAACGCAAATACTGACCAGAGGCGGTAAAAAATGCCCCACGTACTTACGCTTGCTATAGCCTTTCTACGAGGTGGAGGAGATATGATAGAATATGACCGATATGTCTCGCTTTTTACCTTATATGATTTAAAATTAGGCTCTTTTAGTAAGCATTTTTTTATTAATAAGCTCTAGGAAAAGCATCAATTTTGGAGGTGAATAAATTAACAAGCCCCAACCCTAACTAATCTTACTGGCGTAGTTTAGAGCCTGTAGCTCAGACAATTGTTATCAAAGAATACTTTTCAAAAAATATTGCACTTTGAAGACTTTATGCTAATTAGGAAAAGTGGATTTAGGGAAACACTTGGCAAATTCGATCCAATGCAAATAAAATTCGTGAAGTAAGTTAACTAAACTTTGTTAAAGACCGTTTGAGTTTTGCCAAAATAAACACGAAATGCGTCAAATTTCTCGAACAAATGCGGTCATTCATTGACCTAGTCGGTAAACATGAAGGCAATTCTGTGTTTAGCTCCAGGTTATGGTAACAGGCCACCTAGAGGCTCCACCATTGTGTCTCCACGAGGCGGCACGGCCTCCGGTTCATACCAGTAGCTTCACGCCCTACTATACGTCGACAATACATATTATACCCGAGTACTATGATTTCTTTCGTCTTCAGAGAAGTCTCGAGGTGTTACATAACCCAAAACACATTATTAATTGAAATACCGTTAAACTGCATGGGAAGTTTCAAATCACCGAGATCCTCATCGAAATTATGAGAAAAGTTAAAAATTTACCTAGAACTAGCCTCATTGCCATATGTCGACTACTTGGAACTTATGGAGCTTTTCCAAAACGATGCACACCTCTCATGAATAGGGTTTTCTTAGAACGGCGTTTGTCAAAAGCAAAAATCTTGCTTCAGCGATCCCTTTTCCTATCTCCTTTTGCTTCCCCAAATGTCTTTTTTGCACTCCATTGTATAATGCCTCCAAGAAGGGGCAATAATTATTACTTGGAGGAACATCAGGGTAAATTTTGCGAGATGAGTTGAGGATTTGCATTACCTTCCATGGCCTTCACTAATCCTGCCCGTTTATCAAGCAGAAGTTTGCCTCGTATGCTTTTATTTGTATCGTGTCGATTTAATAGATTGCAGTCGTAATTATTTGGTCTTTTGCAGGAAATTTATGATAAGCAAATCTGTTCGTGGAGTGGCGGATAGTTTGGG